TGTGTGTGCATGTTTCATGTTGGTTTTGCGTTTTGCGAGAGTTTTTCAAATTGTTTGATAAAAGGACGTTAATCAACCACATTTTGCTGTATGTTTTAATATGCAAAATGATTCAAAATCAACAGATAGAATATTCCAGCTACATGGAGTGCCAGCTTTGCTGGCTCCAGCCAAGCTTTTGTACCGTTTTGATTGAAAGAAGTGGCATACAAGCCAGTCAATAAATTATGAGTGAATGAATTTGTTTCCAAACGTGCAAATGATTTTCTGGAAACTTTGATTTGATTTGATTTTTTTTTGTGTGGTATGAAGAAATCCACCATGGATTTATTTGATCTATTGTGATCATCTTGAATATTCTATCTGTCAAACTATACCTGTCATTGATTTTGAGTATTCTATCTGTTGTCTAAGAAATTTTGAATATTCGATCTGCTAGATACTTAATATATCCTATTTTTATATTAGATACCTTATCTTATATTATCTTATATTATATTTTATTATCTTACCTTATATTTTTTTATCTTATATTACGGTTTATTATTTTATATTATATCATATTATAGTTAATTATATTTTATTTTATGATATTAGATTATATTGTATTGTATTATATATATTATCTTGTGTTATATTATTATATTGTGTTATATTATATCATATCATATTATATTATATTATATTATATTATATTATGCGTTGGGACACAGGCTGAAACCTGTCGGGTAACCAAACGTACCCCCGGATCTAACCCTTAGCGCCACAGGTCACCCATGTTAGCGGCCTGATTTCTTGAGCCATGGTTGCAGTCAGTCGCACGAAATTTGTGCGTGTTTTCCCCTTGTGCAGGGTGCTATATGTGCATGGGGCTATTGCATATACCGCACTCCCCCTTGGACGATTCGTCCAACATTCGTGGCTGCTAATTCAGCCAAACATGCCACCGCTCAGTACTGGAAGTACCCAATGGCCAAGCTTTTTGATGTAGTCCATTCCTGAAAACGTCGTAAGGCCACCTTCGTTGACTTCACTCAAAAAGTAGGCCGCCGCATTCATTGCATGCGGGCAATTTGCGCCCATCGCGGCGTCCCAGCTGGCAGTCGCTGACGCCACCTGCCACGGTTGCAGCCCAGCGGAGCCCCGCGTAGTGATGATCCTGCGGGCTTGCCGCGGTTCCTCCTGCGGTGGCACACCGTGCCAGTTGGTGCAGTGTACACCCCAGGGTCAGGTGGCGTCAGGTTCAGCAGGTTGTGCAGGCCCAGGCCTTGGACCAGGTTCAGGACCTTCTCCATGACCACCTTCATCATTCGCTTCATCGGCTTCCCCGGTCTCATTCACACCGAGGATCTGCTGCCACATCCATCACATCTCCTGGAAGGTGCTGTTGGGCTTCTCCAGAAACTGCAGGACCTCCCTTTGCCGTAGCCCTTTCCAGCTCTTGTTTCCAGCCATGCTGCTGGAGGTGCTTTTGGCCCTTCAGGAGGCCATATTGGATCTCCCTGTGGTGTTGTGATGTCGTCCACAGGCTCAATCACTTCCTCCTCTTCGTCCACTGTCGGCAAAACCCGACCTGGATCCAATTCCTCCTCCTCGTCTTCTTCTTCTTCTTCTCCTTCTTCTTCTTCTTGTTGATCCTGTTGTGGATCTTCCCCAAGAGATGGCTCATACGGAAAGTCGTAGGGCTCTCCATCCAAAAATGGAGCTTGTTCATCGCCCGCACCATGGTCGATCGTGCCAGGCGTAGAGGGTGCCGCAGGCCCTACCGAGGTGTAAAGCGCCTCACGGCCTTTGCCCTTGGCTGCCAACCTTCTGCTCCAACCTCAAGATGTGAAATGGAACCCATTCCTCCTGCGTGGAGGCCTTGCTGAACTCGCCGGAGTCCGCCATGTCCCTGTAGTAGTGCGAGCCCTCCGGGCCAGCGTCACCTTGATCTTGCGGCCCATCTAGTTCATCCGCCATCTGCATCTCCCACATGGAGGGATGAACTTCAGGATCCCGAGGTGGTCCTCCATCCAACGCAGCCGCAGACGGTCTTCTCCTCCTCACTAAACCTTGATGCCCAAACACAGCTCATTGTGGTACTCGTCCACCTCATGTTTCCCAGGGAACTTCCCTTGGCCCTTTCCCTCACCTTTTCCCGGATCTTCTCGTTCTGAGGCAGCGCTGCCAGAATATTGCGCATCTGGGTAGTCTGCCATCGGACCCTCTCAAAGGCTCTCACCAGCATCGCACCAAAGCTCATTGCCAGGACGCTGTAGCCCAGAAGCCAAGCAGCACCAGGGCATACATGAAGAAGCCCCAGCCGCCATCATCACGGGTTGGGCTTTCACCCCCATGGGCACATCTACACAGAGCAGCATGACCAGGAGTGAAGTCATTCCCTTCAGGTCTAATTGATCAGCACTGCGGTTCCCAGCACTGCAAAACAGGTTCACTCCCGGACAGCGCTCTGGAAACCTATCTACCTGGGCCAAAGTGGCCTTGACGTCAGCTGCACTACGGTCAGACACCCACAGTGTCGCACTACAGCTACTTGAACCCTCAGAGGCAGTGGAAGATTCCTTCAACCTTTCGGGACTAGTGATCACACTGAGGATCCGGGGGCTTTGAGCCCTTGGATTCTTCCACCCCCTCGAGTTTTCCTGAATTTCATCTTGATTTTGGTTTTGGCTCCCAATCAGCAAAGGAAAATTGATACCTTTGAGGGTGACACTTTGAAACCTGGTGGGTTGATTTTCCCCAGCTTCATGGAGCCCAAATTGGAAAACATCCGGACCACAGGGCCCATCCAACGACCCAGCTGCCACTCCACCTCCACTTGGCCATGGTGTCGTCCCGGAAGGCTCCCCAGAGGATTGCAAACCGTAGAGGGCTTGTTTGACCCTCCAAACTTCATGTTGAGGAATCACTCCGCTTGCGCCAGGATCTTGGGAGGACACGCAATGAACGTGCCCTCACCCCGCCTCGGTGCCAACAAGAATGCAGACTTGACGTCAATTCCAGTTGCAGTCCAACCTTTGGAGGCCGCCGACCTCATAGTCGTTCTGATTCACGCACCATCGATCCCTGCTGCATAGGTGTCAACCGTCTTCCCCTTGTTCAAAAAGTTGGAGGAGTTGTTCACCTGCTGCTCGTCCTGCTGGTCCAGGGAAGGCTCCAGGCGGTTGCCGCAGCACACAAAACGGGCCTTTTTCTTCTCGTCAGGGGCCTTGATCGTTGCGACCAATTTCCCAGGTGCATACTGTACTCCCAGTGGTATCATCCACAAGCTCAATTGCCTTGGTCAGGACCGTCAGGCTTTCATACTCAGAGAGCAAAGCAGACCTCCACTCACTCAGGTTGGCCTTCACCTCCTCAAATGGAAACCGTGTAGGTTTGAAGAGCCAAGGCTCCATCCTCCGCAGCAACAGTAAGGCTCTTGATCTGAGCCCGAGCCTGGAGGATCTTGTTCACCTTTTCCAGCTCATCCTCCAACGCCCAGATCTCCCCTGTGAGTTCTTGCAGAAGCTTCCCTTGATGTTCTCCTTCATCATCATCCGTTGACAAACGCTGCGACTCCTCTCTGAAGACGTAGACCAGCCCAGTGTGCAGCCGTTGGAGGTAGTCTTCATATTCCCCAACCGACCCATCAACGCACAGTGGCCGCCGATCCCTTCCACCTCCATTCGAAGTCATGCTTTTCAACGTCGCCCTTGGCTCCAAAGTTGAACTTGTTCCCAATGTTGAACTTGTCCCCAAGGATGAACTGGTCCCCAATGCCGTACTTGGCTCCAAGGTTGAACTTGTTCCCAAGGTTGGACTTGTCCAAGATGTAGTTCCATCACCCTCATTGACCACAGAAGAGGACGAAGTTGAAGTAGCCGGCAAAAAGCAGGCACCACCAGCACCGTACTCCCCCCCGGGCAAGTTGGCCGGAACCACGCTGTCACCATCATCAAAGTAGAGAGCACGCACCGCTATGGGCTCCGCCGTGTCAAACACGTCATCATCGAAGATGCCATCCACCACTGCAGGGGCCTCTGCCTCGGCAGCAATGGCATCATCGACCGTATCATCAAAGGACTTTCCGGCCCGTAGGGCTCTTCAGGTTCTTCAGCGCCTGGAGCATCACGCAGAGCAAGATCCACCAGCACCGGCTGTGGGACTCGGTCGTGAACCTTTGTTTTCCATGAAGGCGTCGTAGAGGTCGAGTTGGATCTTCTTCCAGCTCCGAGATGGCAATGTCAGCATGAGGGCCCGTCTGGATCACAGCCCGTGCTTGTTGGGCATGGCCGCTTTGGCCTTTCACCACCCAGCCACTGCTCATCGCGGGCTTGGGCCCTTGATGTACCCAACCACGTACGGCGAAGTGAGCCGCCCTTTGTGTCGATCTCCCTGAAGCTTCTTGTGCCACCATTCTCGCCATCGAGCGTTCATCTTCTCCACCATCTTTTGGTCTGATTCAGTGAGACCCCCCTCCTCGATGTCACCGTCGTCGATGTCGACCCCATTGGACGCGTCAACCTCCGGCACCATGTCGAGTGGACCATCAGCGTTGTGAGCTCCCCCGTGCCCAACAGCACCATGTAGTAGAGCCCCACCAGAATCTTGATCTTCAGCAGCTCGTGCACATTTTTTTGAACCTTGTGGATCTTGGGAACCTCCATGGACTTTAAAACTTCCAAGGGCTTGAGAGCTTCTGGGGTCTTCCGAGCCAGGTACACCGCCAGGGTCTTGACATTCACCAGCATGTAGAGCACCATCCGGGTCCACCCCTTTTTGGCAATCTCCAGCGGGATTGGCACCGTGGCTATCAGCGCATACCTCATTTCTTGGCTACCCCCAAGGTCAGCACCCTTGATGAAAGCCCAGCAACATCCACCGCCATGACGCACACCGATTCACCGCCAACCCCTCGTCGACGTCGATGTGGAAGGTCTTGGCCCATCTCCTCAATGCAAAGACGACAGTCCCTGCGAAAGGGAATGTGGTTCTGTCGCACATGCTGCCTCCACTGCTCAATGGAGAACTTCTTCATTTGAGACGCCACGTCCTGAAGCTTCATGATGGCAAGTTGGATGGCCCTCACAAGGCCTGGTGCCCATGCAGACCACATTGAGGTCTGTCGCATGCGAGGACCGAGGTTCACCTCCATGCATCTCCTCCTTGGCCCCATTGGCCCTGAGGCCGTCCAAGTCCTTCATGGCTTCCAGGTCCGTCAACAGCGTCGTAGGTTTGACACAATTATGCCCGCACGCACCCTGATCCAGCTTCACGGTCTGAAGACCATGTCGTTGAGCGAAATCGTGAACTTCTGGCCATTCCCAGATCGAAGGATACTGCTCAGCCTCATCCAAGTAGTCCTTCGGATCCGTGGGATGCTCCATCAAATAGGCGTGGAACTCCGGAGATGCTTCAAACACCACATCGTAGATGGCCATCATTTTCAGGACCAAAGCTGTATCTCCGTGGGTCTTCTCCACCTCCTCATCGGTGAGATTTTCAAGTCTCCACCTCTTTTCACCACGCCCGTAGAGGTTTTGGTCCCGGCCGTTGATGCCGTAACCGGCTGAAAGTGCGGCAAGGCGGACCTCCCAACACCACCTTTATTTGACCACATCTCGCGAGACGTGCATCACATAGGCGTAGAGCTGTCGGCCATGTAGGTTGTGATTAGCCCCCAATGCCACATCCAAAGCAAGCACCTCGAAGCCAGCTCGTTGAAGGCACTGCCATCTCTTCGATTGATGTTCACCTCCTGCATAGAGATGCAGCACCACACCACGGCAAGTTTCCAGTTGTCGTCGACGATACCGGTTGAAGGGCAAGCCACCATGGTCCAGATCTTCCCATTTGTCATTCTGGCCCACCATAACTTCAGCACCTCCTTTGGCACATTTGGATACCTCGCTGACCACCATGCGATCACGTCATCCACAGCGCTGTTCACTTCAAGCTCCTCCAGCTCCTTCATCAGCGCCAAAGCTTCCTCCCTGTGCATCACAGGGCACCCCTGTCTTTTCCAGCATCGAAGGGGTCCACGTCGAGGATGATGAATGTTGATCCCACTTGATGTCCATGTCAGGTTGAATCCATGGTCGATGAGAAGTCGCACAGGCAAGGTGCGCTCGATGTCGTCGTTGGTTAGAAGAGTGCTGCAGCCCTTCTTTTTCCGAAGGACCATCGACCCATGAGCCAATTTCACAGTCACCGGCTCAGAGTTCTCCAGCTCGGACTTGGTACCACGCCTCAATGCGTGGGTCGCGCCACCGTCTACCAATGCCACCTTAACCCCATCGTTTTTGAACACCTTGGCCTCCACATAGCGCAGCTGGATGGCTTTCAGGCCCTGAAGGGATTTGACCAAGCTGGAAAGGTCGGACACCAGTGCCTCAGGCGTGACCGGCTTCTCTTCCACGATCTTGGTTTTCCCCTTTTCGTCCGCTGCCCCAGAGCTCGATGTGGATGCTGTTGGAAAAGTCCCTGATGAAGAGCTCCTTGATGGTGCCGTCGGAGAAGTCGGTGTAGGATCCCCTCTTCCATGCTTCGGGCTCCCTTCCTTCTTCACATTCGCCTTCGGCGCCGCGATCTTCGAGATCTTTTCCTTTGTAGTTGGAGAGCTGGATGAATCCCGCGGGTACGGGCAATCAGGTCGTAGATGTCCTTCAGCAGAACAGTTCCAGCACCGACCCTTCTTTTGGATTCCATCCCAAGAATGCTCAAAGCTGCAAGAGTCAGCCCGCTTGCAACCAACAGCAGTGCCCCAAAAGCGGCACCTCGCCTTTTCATTTGGAGTTGTAAGAGCTGCTGCTTTCACCAGCTCCTTCTTTTTCACGTCAGCCGCAACCGTTGAGCTCGGAGTTGACACCGTTGAAGTCGCAGTAGGAGTGGCCAACATCAGCTGTTCAGCTTCCGCTTGCAAGTGCTCCGCAAACTCAGTCACACTCGCCGGCAAAGGGGTAGTGTCAAGGGCCAATGCCTGTCGCATGCCCGCCACTCGAAAAGCCATTTGTGATCCCCCTACTCTGCATAGAGAGTCTGACCATTTTGACAGCAGGCCCATCAGCAGCAGTGGATCGGGTAGTTGAACCCCAAATTCTGATGCCTTTCCCAGGTTCCTCCTCCGCGTTCTCAGCGTGTTGAGAATCTCCTTGACACCAGCATTGGCAGCCAACTTGTTTTCGGTCAGCTCTCGAAGAATCCAGTCCTTTCCTGGGCTCCCCCCAGCTGGTACTTGCAAAGCAGGGTGAACACGATCTCCACGCTGCTCATCTTCCTTGTGGCAACGACATCCCTTCGGATTTGTTCCGGCACAGCTGCCAACAACATAGTGACAGCCCTTTGTTCCGTTCGAGGAAACTTTTTGGCCGCGGGGTCCATCTCCACCTTGAGTCTGAGACGCTCCAACGGACTCGCCACACGCCAGAGCTCGTAGTAGCGCTGTGCAGAAGCCATCGTCAGCGACCACCACGAAGCCGAAGTGCTGTTGAGATCGGACATCAGTGGCGTTATGACCGCAATCCAATCCCCAAACTCCACACGTCCTCAGGCTTTCGTTCCAAGGCTTCCCCAGAAACCACCATATGTTGAGAAACTCCAGGAGTCCCAGACATCACCATCATGGGCGTCGGCTGTTGAACCCCTTGAGATTGTGCCATGGGCAAAACGTAGGAAGGCTGCACAGGCAGACCAGGTGGCGTTTCCAAACCCAGACACAGCGGCTCCCTTTCTTCGAGCCATTTCATTTTTCAACTTCTCCTGAACTTCACGAAGCGCCTGCATCTTCATCGCCTCGATCTCCAGAAGATCCTGATGAGAAAGTCCATCATGAGCCACCAGACGCTGCTCTGCATGTGTCGGCGTCCCCTGACCTCCACCAGGTCGAACTTGTTGAGAACCAGAGCCGCGGGCCTCACGTTGTGCACCATCGCTCCAAAAAGGGTTGACCTCCACAGGCCGAGTTGGCACCTCAGGTGTCCTCATCCCATGTTGATCCCGATCACCATCATGCAGTCGTAGACGCTCAGCTGGCTGAACTTCGGCAGCAGGACCCTGAAGAGCTCGGCCATCACGTTGACCTTCTCCCCCATGTCGCTCCGGCTCACCACCATCGCATCGCCCACCAAGAGGCTGAAGACCTCGAGGAGAACCATTGGGTAGAGGTGGAAGATCACCAGCAAGAAGCCTGGCCTATGTCCAGCTCCTCCCACCGGCACCAAACTTTAACACCTCGGGCCTGGCGCTGCAGTGGGGCTTTCGCCGGAGCAGCGGAGGTGGTCAATGCCGCTGACTGTGACTTCACCGCAGCATCAGCCCTCCAACAGTTCATCCAACATTTGGTCTGTCTTTTCAGCCACAGCCACAGCTGCAGGAGACCCCTGCACGGCTTCACCACCAGCCATCACTGGCACTGATTGCGAGCTCTCCCCACCACCTGCCACCTGCAGTGATTGCGAGCGCCCACCACCTGCCACCTCCACTGATTGCGTCGCCACATGCTCCTCCCCAGCAGCAGCTCCTTCATGTCTTCGGCGTAGGTCCATTGCGTCAGCACCAGTGAACCCTTGGGCTCATAACCTGCGTTGGGACACAGGCTGAAACCTTGCGGGTAACCAAACGTACCCCCGGATCTACCCTTAGCGCCACAGGTCACCCGTGTTAGCGGCCTGATTTCTTGAGCCATGGTTGCAGTCAGTCGCACGAAGTTTGTCCGTGTCTTCCCCTTGTGCAGGGTGCTATATGTGCATGTGGCATGCTATTATTGCATGTAATGTGCCAAGTGCACATCCGCATGTTATATCAGTTAACACAATATAATATAATTCTTTAATATAGTATAAAAATAATACAATAGAATATAATTATATAATATTTAAAAAATAAAATAACATATAATATAATATAATAACAACATTTTATTGTATCACATTATATCATATCATATCATTTTTTCTATCATATCTTTTTTCTATCATGCCAGATGATATTTTATTATATCATATCACACCATATTTTATTTTACCATATTATATTTTATTATATTGTATTATTTTATATTATATTATAGTATATTATATTTTTTTTTTGTATTGTATTATATTATATGATATCATATTATATTATTGTATATTGTTTGATATTGTATACATATATATATATATCATATTTTGATATATTTTCTGTTTTGCTGTAAAAGTATACAATTTTATTTGTTTTTAAAGTACAACATTGTTTAGCATAATACAATGTAATATAACATAATTTAATTTAATACGACATAATAGAATGTAATACAATATGAGATAATATCATCTAATAGGATATAATATAATATCATCTTTTATAATATAACATTTTAAAATAGAATATATACAAATCATATAGTATAATATCATATAATATAATAAAATATAAGATAAGATAATATAATATCAGTTAATTTTAATATAGCATAATAAAATATAATATATAATATTTTTTTTGTTTAATGCAACATGACGTAACCTAACATAATATAGTTTGATAAAAGCAATTTTTAATTTGATATAATATAGTAACATAAAATATAATATCATAAAATAAAAACTAATATAATATAATATGATGTAATATAATATAGTATAATATCATTTAATGCATATCAAAAAATATATCATCGTATAATATAATACAATACAATCTTTATTTTATTTTATTGTGTTAAATATTATTTTGATATATTATATAATATCCTATTATATTGTATTACATTATATATATATATTTTAAATCATATCATACTTTATTATATTATATTATGTTAGGTTATGTTGTGTTGTGTTGTATTGCATGTATTGTATGTTGCTGTAGTGTATTGTATCGTATTGTATTGTATCGTATTGTATTGTATTACATTGTATTGTGTTGTATTGTGTTGTGCTATTCTATGTTGTACTATTTTATGTTATATTTTTTTGTTTATCATATGGTAACATAGTATGTTATATGATATTACCTTATATTATATTTTGCTATATTATATTAGATTATTATATTTTATTATTGTATCTTTTCATGTATATTACATTAATTTTTTCATTGAATTTTATATTTTTTTACTATATTTTATTATTTTATATATTATTTTATAATCATGATATCCTTGTCTTTTTTCCTCGGGTTGTATCGCGCCCTGCCTTTCAGGGTTTCTCCGCATCAGGAGATGCTGTCCCTTGGAAGCTATGGCCATCCGCAGATTTGCCGTCGACCTTGCATCTTGTTCTTGCACAGCACCTGCGAAAGGGCTGGCGATTGTGGCTTCTGCCATCTTCCACACGAGCCTTGATAGAAACTCCATGATCGATCATTTTGTTCCAAAAAATTGATTTTCAAAAGGCATGTTGCGCAGCATATGATTTTTTCTGAACCGTGCACTTTGTGTTTTTCAATGTAACTTTCCATTTTTCATTATTTTTACAAGTCTTAAGGAACCGAAAACATCATCCCTCGACAAGCAGCAACGAGAGTTCTTGAAGTCTCTCCCTGCAGTGACGGTCTTGGAGATGCTGTTGCCATACGTTCGCAAGCAAGTGGAGGCACACCAACTGGTGGCTCAGTGGCCGACCAAGCACCATATATCATGATTTGTATGGGTTCGTACATGGAAACTATCCCAAGTGTGGTGAACATTTCTGGCGCGGAATGAAACGTATAGGTGTAACATGTGAATATATACAGTCATTTGCCAGATCATTTCCGTCCTGGTGAAAAATACTGTTCGAAAGGATTCGAAAGGTTATTTCATGTTACGTATCTTCGACAGCTGATCTACCACAAGAATAACTTCACCAGAAAAGTTGGAGGATCTTTTTGATCCACAAGATCCACTCCAAGAAATGCGCCGAAAACAAGTGGGCTTGTGTCGCAGTTCAAGTCTCTGAGTGGAAATATTTCACCATAGCTATAGGGGGCCCAAGTCCCAACAGTTTTTTTTTTGATAACCTTGATTACACAATGTTTGTTCACTTCAGTCCTGCACCCCCAAGCAGTTGTGGTGTCACATGCCAACGGTTTCTAGTCGTTCCTTGCGCTGTTCCATTCGTTGTTTGCAGGAGACTCTTCTTCCAGGTGCTGGCGCGTTGCTTCAGCTTGTCACCAGCGAAATTTCCATCCGTTCTGGGCCTCAGCACCGTTCACTTCGGTGTCCCTGGAGGTTGCGCAGGGTGTTGGAGCGCTTGAGCTTGTCCGGCCTGGTGAGCGTGGCATGTAGCGCGATCCGGGGCCGTTTCCCCAAGCTTTTGTGCAATGAGTTGACGAAGCTAAGGGAAACGGCCAAAAACCTGGCTGAGGGTTGAGGCCCAAGGATCACATGCATTGGGATGATGGGATCTTAAAATGTCGTTTGGTTCGTTTGGTTTCGGAATGGATTGAACTTTGATAGAAATTGGTTGTTCTTCAAAAGGTCTCTGGTTTTTAATTCCGGTGGGCTTATCTTGCTGTGTCCAAAAATGGGGCAATACAAAGTACTCAGACCATGGGTCTTCTGGCAGCAAAATAGGTCATGTCTGCGGGGTTTTGGAGTTGATCCATCTCTGTTTGAAGCAATTCATGACTACCCTCTGGTAATGACTAGACTAGCATAGCTATTGAAAATGGCCATAGAAATAGTGGATTTACCCATTAAAAATGGTGATTTTCCATAGCTATGTTAGTTTACCAGAGGGTACGTCTTTTGGGCGGCAGAATTGCCACGGACAGAATTGATAGGCCCGTGCGTGACCACCTTGTTGTGATCCGTCTGGTTTTCTGTCCAAACAAGTGATGTTCCCCTCGTGATCTGTGATCTGAAGTATCATGAGCCGGCTCAGAAGGGTCTGTTGGACTGTAGGATCCAACATTTCAAGGATATCCCCAAATTCCAGTGTTTCATCATCAGTATTCCTATGAATTTTGCAATTTTGGAGGTACCCATTTTCAGCTGCACCCAAATTCGCTCGGGCACCGCGGCCCACACACTGTCGCGGCTGTGGGCCTGACATTGCACCGTTGCAATGTCAGTCAGCGTTTCAACAACAGCAAAGCTTTTGATCTTTTGATGTCCATTGATATTTGTATATAGAATATTTGTACATATCCACATTGTAATTGAAATACACCCAAATACGTCCCAAGGTATGCAAACGTCAAACATTTCCCTGCATGCAAAGTATGATGCCTAGTGACATCATTTTCTTCTCAAATGTGATTTTGCACGAGTTGCCCATAATCTAGAATTTGGATGCACTTGCTGGAAAACAGTAACTTTGTTCATGTTGACTTTGGAACAGAGCACCCAAACAATTCATAAAATCATATAGCTGGCTTCCGCGAATCAGGGCTAAGTTGATGCAAGGCTTGGTGAATTCTATGGTTGTTTGGGGGGATATAACATGATATAACTACACTTAATGGGCTTTACACACCAACTTGTAACTGGAGGGCCTCACCTTGTATGATATATTTCATGTACAATGCACATCTATACTTATAATAAACATATATAACATATACACATATACATGTACATGTACATATATACATGCATGAAAAATGATCACTCTTTGTGACGTAGGGTTGCAAAAGGTTTGCTCTTGGCCCTGAAATTCAACGGGGTCCCAGACATTGCCGAAGAAACTTGGCAAGGCTTGTAAAAAATAGATACTTTTCATGGGGCAATCTCCACGCACACCCATTTGCTTTCCAGGATCCTGTCTTTCGCTGTCGCCGTGAATCTGCGACTCGCAGACATTTTTTGAGATGTCTGAAGTATTCTGAAGTGCATATAGACTCTCAGATTGAAATAATCTCAAATGCCTGTTCCCGTGGATTGTCAGTGCCAGGTCAATTTTTTTTGAGGTAGCAATGACCAAAACGGGTCGGAATTGGTCAAAAAAAATAGAGGTAGCAATGACCAAAGAGGGCTGGAATTTTCAAGGTAATGAACCATCTATCTGGATACTGTAAGTGTAAACGACCTCACTGCGACGTCACTGTAGATGATTGTTAATAGGGGTAACTATCCCCAAATGGCCTTCTTTTGGGTTGAGCAATCGGTATGATTTATCCATATATCACTGGAACTCCTTCAGTCAAATGTTTATTTTTTTCAACGCCCTCATGGTTGAATTCAGGGCGGGTAGTTGCAGTCATTGTGGAGTCTGACCATCTTCGACTCGGTACTGCAGTCCTTTGTGCCTGTGCAGAGTCACCACGAATCTCATTGAATCTTGATGATTAACCGAGGATTAGTAAACCCGAGCAGGGAGCTTATGATTGGAATTGCGACGATGTAGTAGTATGAACTAGGGCCAAGTGTGGCACCGTGAGCCACAGTCAATTTACAAAGGGTATGATACGTATTTACATATGCATACATATTTATATGATGTTTAATTTTTGATCGACATTCTCCGCTTGTATAGAGTGCCCCGTTGAATCATACTGGCCAGTTGACTTATGCTGCTGCAATCTGCAGGTGAGTATCATTGGAATTCTCAGTTGGATTTAACATGATTTAAGCTCCAAGATACTGATGAAGGGGAATGGTTCCCATTTTTTCTCGACAATGTCATTTGAGCAGTGGCGGCTATACCCTTGTTGATTGATTATTGTATGGGCTTACACTATGCAACATTTTGATATATTTTGGGGATTATCACAGCTCACAATCCATTATTGGAAATCCGTTCTTGACCAACCAGTATAAAGGGATTGCATTTCAGGTTTAGCAGCCACTGCTCAAAAACATCGTGCAACATCTCCGGAATTCTTGCTGGGGGTCAGTAGTTTGGGGATCCTGCATTCGAAGCCTGGTTGGGGGACCCCCTGCTGGTTTCTGGCCCTAGCTTTGCGGCACAATTATACCCTCTTTTTCGTTTTAGAGTGAACTAGTAAGACTCCCCTGAACTCTCAGTTTATTATTCCACGGTTATCTGTACAGCACTTTGCCGCGACCGTCCGAAACGCATGTTTTGCCTGCGGCTTGCCTGTACTGAGCGGAAAAACTCTGCGAAGCAAGCTGAAGCCGTCAGGTCGTGCCGGCAGAATGACCCTGTCCTTCCTTGATCTAGAAATGGATCCATTGCTCAAGGCGCTGGGATTTCACCCCACACACATTTCATCCAGGCAGATTTGGAGGAACAGGGATATGCACAAACAGAAATGCATGTAATTCACCAAGAAGTCTGGTACTTGAAGCATTTAATACGGGGTAATCATACACGCAAGGTAATGGGTCAAAGATTTTATCCTTCAAAGCAATAGATGAACAAGTCATTTTTGTACTCAACCATCCAATTTTGGGTATTGTACCTAGTGACATGTCCCGTATTGACATATCTTGATCTATAGAAAGCTTCAAAAAGATAGAAGGTGAATTCCCACCAAAATAGTGACCAAAGGAAGTTTTGAAGTCAAACTTCTGACATATGGACAGATGCAGCAACAGTTGTGGGAAGAGTCCGAGAAGAGAGAGCAAGAAGCCCGAAGATCAACATGCGTGAAAAGGAAGAACATCATAAAGCGCTGTGCTTTTCCAATGTTTTGTGGCTCCCGAAGGTCGAAAAGTACGCTGGCTACAGCGGCCGGTGCGGAGCCATCTGGCGGAAAGAGGTCAAAAATTGCAGTGGCGCGAAGCGCATGTCCAAGTCAAAATGTTAAAAACATCTTAGCTCCGGAGCACTTTTGGAAGTTGAGCTGTTCAAAAAGTGGACACGGCAGTGGCGCGAAGCGCATTTCGAAGTCAAAATGTTAAAAGCACCTCAGGTTCGGAGCGCTTTTGGAAGTTGAGGTGTTGGAAAAGTTGACACGGCTGTGGCGCGAAGAGCGCGGTTACAAGTCAAAATGTTAAAAGTGCCTCAGCTCCGGAGCACTTTTGGAAGTTGAGATGTTGCAAAAGTGCATTCGGCTAGTTAAGTTAAGTTTTGTTTTTTTTACGCCCCTCCCGTCCCCTAAAAACGACACACTATAACCGGAAAACAACATGTTGTCAGGGCAACTTATGTTAAGCGAAGTTTTTTTTAATCGCCCCCCTCCCGTACAAAACAATATTTTGATAGTTGTTGCAAAAAGTTGACATGATAAGTTATGTTGAGTCATTTTTTTCCGCCCCCCCACTACCCGATAAAACAATATTTACGCTAATAGTACAAAGAAGATTGACATGGGTCGTAAAGTCAAGTGAAGATATTTTTTTACGGCCCCCACCCCTTCCCTTATGAAACAATACATTGATAGTACGAAGAAAGTTGACATGGTAAGTAAAGTTAAGTGAAGAAAAAAAAATACGGCCCCCCAACTCCGAGAAGCCAACACTTTTCTAGTAATTATAAAGAAGGTTGACATAGTCAGTAGGTCAAGTGAAAATGTTTTTTTTTCTACGCCCAACCCCTTCCCCTACAAAACAATACGTTGATAGTTTAAAGCATGTTGACATGGTCACTTAGGTTAAGTTTCATTTTTAATGGCCGCCCCTGCTCTACAAAACGATACGTTGATACCGAGAAGAGAGTTGACATGGAACGTTATTTGAAGTGAAGTTTATTTTTTCCGGCCCGCCTCCCCTACAAAACAATACGTTGATAGTATAAAGAGGGTCCTCGCCTACAAAACAATACTCATAAATGTTCATACTGTGAAGAAAGTTGAGGCGCTAATTTATGTTAAGTGAAATTGATTTAATTTTCCGGCCAGCCTACCCCTACAACACAATACGTTGATAGATCAAAGAAGGATGACATGGTCAGTAAAGTCAAGTGAAACTCAAAACACAATAACATAACATATCCATACATATCTGATTATGTCATGCATACTGCATACGTACATATGCGTCTAGAGGTAGGTAGGTAGGTAGGTAGGTAGGTAGGTAGGTGGGTCGATAGATGTTTTTTTTTTTTTTACGGCCGCCCCCTTTCCCTACCCAACAATACATTGATCGTCTAAAGAATTTTGAAGTGGTAAATTATGTTAAGTGAAATTTACATGTTCACAGCCCGATTCCCCTACCAAACAATACGTTGATAGTATGTAGAAGGGTGACGTTTTCCCCTGGTTGATTGATAGGGTTCCCCCCATTCAACGACCTCCAAAGAAAAAGGAAAAACACGGATGGACAAAAACCAGTGATTTTGACCTGCTACTTGTTTCATATTTTTTCATATTTTCATATTTGTTTTCCTATTTTTCTAATTTTTCCCAATTGTTTCCTATTTTTTCTTAATTTTAGCCAAATTTTGGATTTCATTTTTGGCAACCTCCATTGTTTTTTCTGATTTTTTCCAAATTTTTCTGGAAACATGAAAAATTGCAAAAACCTCGAGAAAATTGAGGAAAATAGGAACCGTATAGGAAAACTGGAAACCCTCATTACTCATATTTTTTGCCTTATTTTCTTGAGGTTTTGGCTATTTTTCACGTTTCCAGTTGCCAAATGCAATGCGTTCCTATGCGTTTCTTATTTTTTCCTAATTTCTCGAGGTTTTTACAATTTTTCACGTTCTCAGACAATTAGGAACAAATGGAGGTTGCCAAAAATGAATTCCGAATTTTGGCTAAAATTTCTGGAAAATTGAACATTTGCAAAAACTTCGAAAATTAGGAAAACATAGGACACACATAGGAAAACAATAGGAAAACCAATAGGGGAAAAAAATAGGAAAGTCACAATCACGGGTTTTGTCGACCAATTTTTTGGATATATATATATATGTATATATACAGTCACCGACAGAATTTTGGAAATGAAAAAAGGTTCGCGCGCCGCAGGTATCGGAAAAGGTTCGGGACCCAAACCAAGACAAAAGATTAGCGACATTACGGACTTTCAAAAAAAAGAATTTTGGAAATAGCAATTTTCTGATCCTGATCCTCTAAAAAGAAAAAAAAGTGAGACAAATGTCTACAAAAGCCTCTAATCCACGATGCAAAATTAATTTTGGAAATCTTACTTATCGGATCCTGATCCTTCAAACTACCTGGTTTTGATTGTTTGGGCATGTTTTTGCAGGATCTTGGGACAAAATCCAGATTCGGTTTTGGGACCCTTATCCTCCAAACCACCTGGTTTACAGCGTATTTGCATGATTTTGGGACAAAATCCAGATTCATTTTTGGGACCCTTATCCTCCAAACCACCTGGTTTACAGCAAATTTGCATGATTTTGGGAAAAATCCAGATTCAGTTTTTGGATCCTGATCCTCCAAACATCTCCAAACCACCTTGTTTACAGTTTATTTGCATGATCTTGGGACTAAATCTAGATTCAGTTTTCGGATCCTGATCCTCCAAACCAGTTGCTTTACAGCGTATTTGCATGATCTTGGGACTAAATCTAGATTCAGTTTTCGGATCCTGATCCTTCAAAAAAAAGGATGAAACAAATGTATACAAATGTCTACAAAAGCCTCTAATCCACGATGTAAAATTAATTTTGGAAATCTTACTTTTCGGATCCTGACCCTCCAAACTACCTGGTTTTGAGTGTTTTTGTATGATTTTGTGACTAAATCCAAATTCAGTTTTGGGATCCTTATCCTCCAAACCACCTTGTTTACAGTGTATTTGCATGATCTTGGGACTAAATCTAGATTCAGTTTTCGAATCCTGATCCTCCAAACCAGCTGGTTTACAGCGTATTTGCATGATCTTGGGACTAGATCTAGATTCAGTTTTTGGATCCTGATCCTTCAAAAAAAAGGATGACAAAAAATGTCTTCAAAAGCTTCTCATCCACGATGCAAAATTAATTTTGGAAATCTTCCTTTTCGGACCCTGATCCTCCAAACTACCTAGTTTTGAATGTTTTTGCGTGATTTTGGAACTGAGTCCAGATTCAGCTTTGTTATCCTTATCCTCCAAACTACCCGGTTTACAGCGTATTTGCATGATCTTGGGACTAAATCCAGGTTCAGTTTTGGGATCCTGATCCTTCAAAAAACAGGTTGAAACATTCTAATCCACGATGCAAAATTAATTTTGGAAATCTTACTTTTCGGGTCCTGATCCTCCAAACTACCTGGTTTACAGCAAATTTGCATGATTTTGGGACAAAATCCAGATTCAGTTTTTGGATCCTTATCCTCCAAACATCTCCAAACCACCTTGTTTACAGTTTATTTGCATGATCTTGGGACTAAATCTAGATTCAGTTTTCGGATCCTGATCCTCCAAACCAGTTGCTTTACAGCGTATTTGCATGATCTTGGGACTAAATCTAGATTCAGTTTTCGGATCCTGATCCTTCAAAAAAAGGGATGAAACAAATGTATACAAATGTCTACAAAAGCCTCTAATCCACGATGCAAAATTAATTTTGGAAATCTTACTTTTCGGGTCCTGATCCTCCAAACTACCTGGTTTACAGCAAATTTGCATGATTTTGGGACTAACTCCAAATTCAGTTTTTGGATCCTTATCCTCCAAACCACCTTGTTTACAGTGTATTTGCATGATCTTGGGACTACATCTAGATTCAGTTTTCGAATCCTGATCCTCCAAGCCAGCTGGTTTACAGCGTATTTGCATGATCTTGGGACTAAATCTAGATTCAGTGTTTGGATCCTGATCCTTCAAAAAAAAAGGATGAGACAAATGTCTTCAAAAGCCTCTAATCCACGATGCAAAATTAATTTTGGAAATCTTACTTTTCGGACCCTGATCCTCCAAACTACCTAGTTTTGAATGTTTTTTCGTGATTTTGGAACTGAGTCCAGATTCAGCTTTGTTATCCTTATCCTCCAAACTACCCGGTTTACAGCGTATTTGCATGATCTTGGGACTAAATCCAGGTTCAGTTTTGGGATCCTGATCCTTCAAAAAGCAGGTTGAAACAAATGTCTACAAACACTTCTAATCCACGATGCAAAATTAATTTTGGAAATCTTACTTTTCGGATCCTGATCCTCCAAACTACCTGGTTTACAGCAAATTTGCATGATTTTGGGACAAAATCCAGATTCAGTTTTTGGATCCTTATCCTCCAAACATCTCCAAACCACCTTGTTTACAGTTTATTTGCATGATCTTGGGACTAAATCTAGATTCAGTTTTCGGATCCTGATCCTCCAAACCAGTTGCTTTACAGCGTATTTGCATGACCTTGGGACTAAATCTAGATTCAGTTTTCGGATCCTGATCCTTCAAAAAAAGGGATGAAACAAATGTATACAAATGTCTACAAAAACCTCTAATCCACGATGTAAAATTAATTTTGGAAATCTTACTTTTCGGACCCTGACCCTCCAAACTACCTGGTTTTGAGTGTTTTTGCATGATTTTGGGACTAACTCCAAATTCAGTTTTGGGATCCTTATCCTCAAAAACCACCTTGTTTACAGTGTATTTGCATGATCTTGGGACTACATCTAGATTCAGTTTTCGAATCCTGATCCTCCAAGCCAGCTGGTTTACAGCGTATTTGCATGATCTTGGGACTAAATCTAGATTCAGTTTTTGGATCCTGATCCTTCAAAAAAAAGGATGAGACAAATGTCTTCAAAAGCCTCTAATCCACGATGCAAAAATAATTTTGGAAATCTTACTTTTCGGACCCTAATCCTCCAAACTACCTAGTTTTGAATGTTTTTGCATGATTTTGGAACTGAGTCCAGATTCAGCTTTGTTATCCTTATCCTCCAAACTACCCGGTTTACAGCGTATTTGCATGATCTTGGGACTAAATCCAGGTTCAGTTTTGGGATCCTGATCCTTTAAAAAAACAGGATGAAACAAATGTCTACAAAAGCTTCTAATCCACGATGCAAAATTAATTTTGGAAATCTTACTTTTCGGGTCCTGATCCTCCAAACTACCTGGTTTACAGCAAATTTGCATGATTTTGGGACAAAATCCAGATTCAGTTTTTGGATCCTGATCCTCCAAACAATTCCCACTGATGCTACTGTAGCCATAATCATGCACTGTAGCATACTGTAGCCATGGCCAAAAGAATTATGGAACCATGTCAATAGAAAATTTGTCACCCCTTTCAGGAAACAAATAATTATGGAAATGGTCCAGTGCCAAGAAGCACCCTTACATGGAAAAAAAATATATGGAAATTTCCCTGCAGCGCGTCACGCCCCTTCCAAAAAGGTTCGTTATACAAGTTATTACCGATTTTTGAGGTGTGCATTTTTATGAGTAAAAAAGAATTATGGAAAAATACGGCCCGACGCGAGGCAGATGCTGGGGGCCTGGAATAGGCAAACATAATGATAGGTAGATGAAATTGAACAATGTACCAAACCCGCCCCTCGATTTTTCCCAAAAGGACAATACTGTGATTCCATGTAGATCAAGGAGCGGAAGTTTGAATCAACTTCGCAAGACTTTGCTAAAATTTTCGACTCTGGTGTGGGCTTGTGGGCCACACTGTGGTGTGCACCATTTTTCCATGCCGGTATGACATAGCAAAGTAGCAATCCCCAAACAGATAGAACAGTAAAATCATACTGAAATAGCTTGAACCTTATCTACCTTTTGGAGGTTACTGTAACATGTTATACCCGATGACATATGGCTTTTACTGCGTTCCCAACATCTACAGACTCTAGACCAGGCAGCAAGCACATCGCGCCCAGCCCAGACTTTTCCGATCCGTTCTTTGAAGTGTGGCAACAGAAAAAGTGAAAAAGGATACCTATTCCACGAAACTGTGGACAATCGAGAATCGGGACAATCTGGGACAGTTTGGGACAATTTGGGACAATCTGGGACAGTGGTTTCAGCATTTTCAGTATCTTTTGGTGTTTGGTTTTCTCTTGCCTTGTGTTGTTATGTGAAGAGATATAGCAGTTCAACTCCCAGTTTCATGCTGAAGTATGGGTCAAAATTTGTCACCCGATATTCGTGCAGGATGTCCCCAGTCCCGAGCCGCCCCATTTTTTGTTGTGGTACCCGCAGGGGAGAGCTTGCGGAACGTCAGCAGGCCAAACTGGGAATCTTCACCAGGATAGCAGAGATTCTCAAAACTTTTCAATCATGTTTTTCTGATTTTCCAGAATCATATCCATTAAATCCTCCATTAATGTTGCTTTTTATGCTTCTGAATGATGGTGTTTTCCGATGGGATTTTCTCATGACTTTTCGGTGAATCCCTGGCCTTTTAGAGATGATTCTGCCATTACCTGCCATGGAAATTTGGGGGATTTCAAGATCCAATTGGGGGATAAATATGGATGAATGGCATTTCAATTGAGTAAAATCATATTTTTTTAGGGGGATTTCCAATCTAAAATTTTTTTAGATGACCGAAGGGTAAGAACAGATTGAGCGTTTCTAATGGAAGCGGGCGATCGTTCGAACTGGAGTTATTTTGATTTAGGTGATAGTGAACAGCAGTCATACTTGTCTATTGCGGTATAACCATCAGGGAACACTTCATAATTGTACAGTGAACAGTTTTGTAGTTTGTGTAAATAGTTCATAATTTGTACAGTCAAACAGTTATATTCACTATAGTATATGATAAAGATTTAATGTGGGATTCACTCAACGCCATAAGCCATCCCACTAGCCAGCTATCTCGGGGTCATTTTACATCATGCCAGTCAAAGGGTATACCGAATTTCAAAAACCTATATTGGGGATTGGTGACTATGGCATTGGGTTTACCACACTACTCGGACAATGATGGGAATATATGAATATATATATATGTATATATATATAGTGTGTGCTTTTTAGATATATACCATGATGGGAGATTCATGAAATCTCAATGGGCATTTTTTATGGGATGTCTACCACATTACTTTATTTCCATCCTAGACTTTCACGGTGAGGCCCTGGTAAACGTAATATCTGAGATGACGCTTAAAGTTCACTTGGTGAATTCTAAGGTTGATCAGGGGGATATAAGCACATAATTTGGGGAATTGTAGGGTTCATTAGGGGACATAAGCACATAACCTAGTGAATTCTGCGGTTGATTGGGGGATATAATATGATATAACCATATAGATATTTCATGTACCGAACTAGTATTCATGGGTTTCTAAACGAAGCTTCACATCACCAAACAGGACCTCACCAAACGATGATTCACCATACCTAGATCATCTCGGGGAGTTGTTTTTTTGATACTTAGATCCTATAGACAAAAAATCAACTTCTGATAATGCTATTCCAAGATTCCTATGACGTACCCGTTAGATCATGTTAGATCTCAATATAGATCGTCAATTTTTTTACGCCGAGGTTTCTCCACCTCCATGGGTGGCCCGTTTCAAAAACCACAGGCCTTGAACCGCTACTTGCGGAAGCTGCAGCGCATCGCCGACGAACACGGCGTGGCGGTGGTGATCACCAATCAGGCCCCGGCGGAGGGTCGTAGGTGGGTTTTAGCCCGCTGGAAAAAAAGGCTTGGTGGTTAAAGATCAAGATGGAGTTTTAACATCAATTGTTTTCATGAACAAGAATCGGATAAGGGTTTTTTTTTGGGGATAGAATGGGATGGTTTACCAAGTGCGATATGAAACCAATAAGCAGCTGGTAGAAAAAGTGGTGGATATCACGAGAAACAAAGCAACAACGCGGATATTTCATGGGACGTAACCAACAAGGAGGTTCTGAAAAACGGGCGAAGCCAAGTTAAAATACAAGTTGTAGATAGACATATTTTTTTTTTCTAAGACCAATGGTTTTATGGGTTTTGGTCTCTCTGAAAGTGCGGCATATCCATCAAATAGCCATCAAATAATAGGAGGTATGATGATTATCAGCTGATTCCGCCACTTTCAATGTGGAGGTAGCCTGTAAAACGGCAGGATGAACCAACAGCAACGAGATTCGGGCGCTGGTAAGAGTGAGGATATTATTGGATATTGGATATTCACCACCAACAAAAGAATTGTTGATGTTTGCCCCCAAAAAGGATTTAATCAACAGAGAAGGGTGCAGAAAGGTTGTTATTTTAACCAATAAACAGCCGGATTTCACAATTCAAACTGGTGTTCTATCCAAGCAGTGTGTGTACTCTATTCCCGAGATGGGCACTGATTTGACGAGCCAAAAATGGGATCTACCGCAGCTGCAGCCATAGGCTGCAAATATAATGTGGTGCTAGCCAAAAGACATGGTTTGTTCACAACAAAGGCCCAAGGTTTCTCTTTGAGATTCTGTGGTGGCACTGGAAAAGGATTCAAATGTTTGTTCCAAAAAAAGGGACCGATTAAAATCGCAAGAATGGCCGGATGATTCTGCTGTGATGTTCCTGAAATCATTGACATCCCAAGTCAGATGGGCATGGGTCGGGTTTGGAGATCATGTTGAAACCCACGCACTTTTTGCGATTGTTCAGAATCTATATCAAGCCATGCATTCTTGTGGTATGTTCTCTAGTTCTATTGGTTTTGATCCTTCGTTTCCTGACAACCTCCACTTTCTATTGCATTCATCTCATATCAAGGGGTATTGAACCAGTGTTCCATAAACATCACTTCTTGCTTTTCTTTTGTCCTTTTTTAAATGCTGTCGTTGTGGTTGTGGTTGTGGTTGTATGTGGTTGTGGTTGAGGTTGTGGTTGTGGTTGTGGTTGCGGTTGTTGTGGATGTGGTTTTTGGTTGTTGGTTGTTGGTTGTTGGTTGTTGGTGGTTGGTTGTTGGTTGTTGGTTGTTGGTTGTTGGTTGTTGCTTGTTGCTTGTTGGTTGGTGGGTGGTGGTGGTGGTGGTGGTTGTTGTTGTTGTGGTTGTGGTTGTGGTTGTTGTTGTGGTTGTTGTGGTTGTTGTGGTTGTTGTGGTTGTTGTTGTTGTTGTCGGTTGATGTTGTTTGTTGTTTGTTGTTTGTTGTTTGTTGTTTGTTGTTTGCTGTTGTGGTTGTTGTTTTGGTCGTTGTCGTGGTGGTGGTTGTGGTTGTGGTTGTGGTTGTGGTTGTGGTTGTGGTTGTGGTGGTGGTGGTGGTGGTGGTCGTCGTCGTCGTCGTCGTCGTCAATGTTACATTAATTCATCGCGTTTCTTTGGATATTCAATCATTTTCATTCATTTTCGGTCAAACCTACACATGTTCATTTCTTGTTCCATTCCTGCTGCAATCTTCCCATTTTCCCAGGTGATGGCATCCCCTGAGAGCGGTCCCGCTGCTTACATGGGACCGCAGGTGGGGAGTTGGGACAGGGGTGTGGTGTGTGGTGCTAAATTTGGAACACGAATTTCACGTGGATTCAGAGACTCTTTGAACCAACTTTGAAAACCATCATTTCCATGGCCAGTCTCAAAGAGCCCCACCATTTCGTGGAGTAAGAATGCGGTGTAGAAAACCCCTTTAAATCCGTTTGATGGTTGTTCCCTATTGGGGTGAAAAACCTGGTTCTTAGAGATGGTATCCTCGGCCGACCAGGTGAAACCCATTGGGGGCCACATCATTGGCCACGCCAGCCAGACGCGGCTCTATTTCCGCAAGGGCAAGGCCAGCTTGAGTCGTTGCGCCTGTGATCTTGCCGGTGATGCAGGGTCTGAGGATGGGATATACCGATGTATACCGTATACATCCGTATACCGTATACCGCCTATAAAATGGGGATTTTTGCATAGGGAACACGATGAAAGATCTGAACGATTCATTTTTTTGATTTGTTTGGGGTGTTTTCAACATTTTCCTTATGTTTCCAGGTACCAAACCCATGTCCTCCCCCGATTTCTACCAGGGAGAGACTCGGATTTGCAAAGTGTACGACTCGTTTCTTGGGCCGCAGTTTTTTTTTAAAGCTTCTGCCGGGGTCACCACTCTGCTGATTAAGGATAGGATATAATATATATATATAAAGTGGATGTACATATCATTGAAACCTGGATGTAAGGTTGGTTTCTAAACATGGGCCTAAGCCATCCAGTCGTCATGGATGACCATGACTTCGTCAGTTATTGAAACAACCATGGTGACGACTGGGGTGCCTCTTGCCTGGGCTGTGAGAGTTGGGATGCCATGGAATCCTCATGGAAGAAGGATTCAAAAATTGAAGGTCCAGAGGACCAAGGGATTGTGATCCATGGACTTCCTGCTTTAAGAAACATCTATGCCCCATGTTTTGTCTTTGAGAACCATCAAAGTTTTTTTTCTGCATGATTCGCTGGTTGAACCAGCCGACCCTCCAGTACAGATATCACACATTTCACCATTTAGTGTAGATCATCTCCCAGACAAGGGTAAACCTGGAGTTTTCCGTATCAATTTCCCAAGGAGGGTACTTGCTGCTTCACCCCAGCAAATTCCGAGGCCAAGCCTCCCAGAGGGTGAAGCGATGTTTGCCATCGACGCAGGCAACGCTGAACCGCTTAAGCCGTGAGATGATGAGCTGAGCTAAAGGATTTCTTGGTACACAAAAAATATAAGCCATGGTTGCCTAACTCGTGGTTATATCTCCTAGGCAAATTCTTGGGGATATGACTGATAAAACCAAGAATATGGGGGTTCGTTGGGAATACAAAGGGGATTTGTCAGGATTTTTTTCACACCAACACCATACGATTTTTTTGAGGATATGGGGGTGAGTCAAAATTACCGGCTGAGGCCTACAATCGGAATAGGGAACATCCACAACTACAAGCATTTTTTCTTGCTCAAATTCCATCTGAAAATCTGAGTCCTGTTTTAAAGATTTCGTGATGCACCGCATACAGTATCCCATGCAGATCCAGTGAATTTTTACAGATCTCGTTGAGTGAATCCATCCCAGGTGGAATTGTCGATGCGCCTGATCGATGAATCATGATGAGTCCATCCATGCGCCAAGATGCAAATTCAGCACGAAAAAGCCGGGCTGGAACTGATCTGTTAATTGAACTCGTGCCCGGCCAAAAAAAGAGGTTTGGAGTTTCAAGCACCGTGTTTTCAGCAAAGCTCAGCCGCAGACTATAAAATATTGCATACGAGTGCAGATCAATGGCAAAACCATTTCAAAAGGGGTCCTCATCTATTGCAATGTGCATAATTAGCTGGATATATCAGGATATTTATCTCACAGAGACGACTAACAAACAAAGAGCGCGCGCTGTCGCAGCGGCGCCCATGACGACACTCCACGCGCCGGGGGAGTTTTCGTTTCACGCGGGAAGCATCTCATGATGCAAAAACCATAGAGGTCTTGGACAGATCTGGTGAAAGAGTCAGGGTTGATGTACAAACTGCAGTCAGCCAGTGGGGGAAGCCAAGAACGGACAAATATTTTTGTATTTGATTAGTTTAGTCAACTGAAGCATGGTCAATGTGTGGGTTTTTGCGAGCCTTTCGTTCTGACCCATTGTATAGCATTGTATACCATTTTGTGCTTCTTGATTCCCAGGTCTTGTTAGTTGTAATTGGCATTCATGATGAAATCCGCATCTGACGATGAAGTTCCAGAACTTTTGGTATTCCCTGTGGACACACCTACTTGATTGTATGCTACCATCCTCTGTGGAGGCTATGTCCAAGTTAAGGTGTGTATTGTATATTTATTATATATATACATGCACGGTACATAGACTGTACATATGTATGTATTTACAGTATATATGTATGTATGTAATGTAACGTAACGTAACATGACGTAATGTACCGTGACGTAACGTAGCGTAACGTAACATGAAGTAATGTAACGTGACGCAATGTAATGTAATGAAATGTATTGTGTATGTATGTGTGTATGTGTGTGTGTATGTGTGTGTATGTGTGTGTGTGTGTGTATGCATGTATGCATGCATGTATGTATGTAATTATGGATGCATGCATGCATGTATTGAATTGTATTGTATATTGTATATTGTATACTGTATATTGTATATTGTATATTGTATACTGTTTATGGATGTATATTGTATATTGTATGTTGTATATTGTATATTGTATGTTGTATATTGTATATTGTGTTGTATTGTATTGTATTGTATGTAACATATGTAATGCATGTATGTATTGTATTGTAATGTAATGTATTGTAATGTAATGTAATGTATTGTAATGTAATGTAATGTATTGTAATGTAATGTAATGTAATGTAATGTATGTATGTATTGTAAATGTAAATGTAAATGTAAATGTAAATGTAAATGTAAATATAAAGTTTAGTGTAAATATACATGTAATGTAATATAATGTAACGTACCTACGTACGTAGGTGCTTTCGTATATACATAATGTATGTATGTATGTATGTATTTATTTTTGTATGTATCTATGTACGTACTGTACTGTACTGTAATGTAATGTCATGCGATGCGATGCGATGCGATGCAATGCATGTATGTATTGTAATTTATTGCAATGTATTGTAATGTATTGTAGTGTAGTGTATTGTAATGTAATGTATTGTAGTGTAGTGTAATGTTATGTTTTGGAATGTAATGTGATGTAATGTAATGCAATGCAATGCTATGTAATGTAATGTATGTATAAATACGTTACTATGTACACTCTACATGTGTACGACATATAACTACATATATCTACATATATATATATATATCCATATTCTCGTATACATACAAGTATGTATAATTTCCAATTAATCTCAAGACCATCGCATCACTTTTGGTCTCAAGAAACCACGTCCGAGACTGCATGAGACTCAGCTCCGTTGCCCAGCATTTGGGGGTCGCGAGGCAGCGCAAATTCGAAAAGATTCGGTTGGGGGTCAGGTGCCTCCTGATTCAAAGATGGGATAGGGTATATTCTAGTGGTGATTTGAAGAGGGACTGATAATCATCCATTGGAATTGGGGCTATACCCTATTTTCTTATATTTTCAAACAAAACCAGGAGTTTCGCGCACTTTTCTTTGGGACTATCCTCCCACTGTTGGATATGCTTTTCTGGCAAAGGAATCCCATGAAGGAACCCTTCCATGCGGGCCGTGCCATGCCATTCCCATGGTTGTAGTTGTAGTACTATCATTTCTTGCCATGGGGATATTTTCCTCGCCAGCTACTTTTCCATATGTGCGATGTTCAACGGTTGATTTGTACACATCTTGGGGGCTGGTTATCGATTCATTAATACTTCAGCATGATGAAAGTTGGTTTGTTCCATCCAGAGTGTCAGAACAAGACAATATCTCTCTTTGCGGGTCAATGTTATGTTTCCGAGGGCCATTTCGCATGGCCTGCGTGGTGGATTGAATTTACTGTACAAACCATTCGTTGTCCGGGACCCAAGTGACAACTTCCCAAGTAGAAACGTCTGGCAGGAGTCTACCGGGAAAAGGGTCTTCGTTTTCACCCAGTTTCGGAAAACTCTTGTCCTGACGGTGACCTGTTCAGGTCATGTTCGGCTTCCCATGACCGGATAGTACCGGATGGTAGTCCCCTGAGATTTGGCTCTTAAGTTGTCACCATGTTGTCTAGATTGACTACATCCTCTTCACTGCGGAGGTTTTCATCCACCGCCAAAGGACCGGGTCCCGGAGCTGAGCGGTTTGTAACGTTTAATCACCGCAGGTTTAGTGCTCGGACCGTAGCATTCCCCCAAAAGCATTGGAAAATATCATCTACCACGACTTTAAATTCAGATCTTACTTGCTTTATCTTTTTTCGGAGTTTACGCAACCAACTTATGTATCTTTTTCCCCACCTGCCAGGTGAGGGTTGTTAGATTTTATGTCAGTTGCCTGCTCCTCCTCTCCTCCTCTCCTCCTCATCTCCTCCTCCTCTCCTCCTCCTCCTCCTCGTCGTCCTCCTCCTCCTGCTCCCTGCCGGACCTCAACCACGACCATCCACGCCCAGTGTGCCCTGCCGGACCTCAACCACGACCATCACTGCCCAGTGTTCCCTGCCGGACCTCAACCGCGAGTATCCCCGCCCAGTGTTCCCTGCCGGACCTCAACCACGACCATCCACGCCCACTTTTCACTCCCGGACCTCAACCGCGAGTATCCATGCCAAGTGTTCCCTGCCGGACCTCAACCACGACCATCCACGCCAAGTGTTCCCTGCCGGACCTCATGTAGGAAGATAAAATGTCAGATAGAGTGCCAGAAGATTTGCCAGGTAGAATGCCAGAAAATATGCCAGAAGATATGCCAGATAGATATGCCAGAAGATATTCCAGAAGATATGCCAGATAGAATGCCAGATAGAATGCCAGATAGAATGCCAGAAGATATGTCAGAATATATGCCAGATAGAATGCCAGATAGAATGCCAGAAGATATGTCAGATAGAATGCCAGAAGATATGCCAGATTGAATGCCAGAAGATTTGCCAGATAGAATGCCAGAAGATATGCCAGATAGAATGCCAAATAGAATGTCAGAAGATATGTCAGATAGAATGCCAGAAGAGGTGCCAGTAAGAACATGTAAAAATGTCATGGTGGGGATCACACGAAGTAAAGTAATTTTTTTCAGAGCAATTTTCCCCATATTTTTTTTTTGCGACTTCCGATGCCAGCAGGAAGTTATGACTACATCATCATTGGTGCGGGCTCGGCAGGTGCTACCATCGCCCACCGATTGGTAAAGGATGCGGGGGCCAGTGCGGCTTGGTGACCGAGTGACGGAAACCGTTTTGGTCATATGAGGTCAGAGTGGGGGTGCAGGATTTAATTGATTTACCCTCTGGTAATGACTAACATAGCCAGAACATAGCTATGGAAAATGGCCATTTATAGTTGATTTACCTCATTAAAAATGGTGATTTTCCATAGGTATGTTAAATTACCAGAGGGTCAACATATAAGAATAGGGATTTTACTGGATTTACTGTAACGACTAAGAATAGGGGTTTGACCATATCGGGATTTTTCATGAGATATTAACCATCAAGTTAGTTGAGCCATGACGAAAAAAACCCAACGGATGATAACGGTTCTTGAAATAGGGAAGTATACTGCCTGGCTGCCTGGCTTAGGATTTTGAACTAACCCCTTTTGTAAACCTTTCAACAAAGTTGAGGTGGAAAAAATCGATCTAAGCATGGAAATTGACACCCCCATGTTTCCTGGGATCTGGGATACTACGGTGAAATATATCCACAGAAAGTTCGCTGATGATTTCACCACATAAACTTGGGACCATACAAGTTTGGGGTCTTTAGTCGTGGGGGGATGGGATAACTCCATATTTTACCGGGGTTTATGGATTTATCAAACTAGTCAATCGGTATGTATGTATACAATGTATACATATAAATTAGATATATATACCTGAAAATGGGGGATATACCCTCAAACAACAAATTTCATGGGGAACATGATGAACATACAATAAATGTGGATGGAACGGTGTATCTCCCATTTTCCTTTCGCCCCAAAGTGTCCATATGTGCCCCCAACGGCCGTCGGTGGTCTGTCCGGCCGTGGGGAATTCCTGAGGTGCTGCTGATCGAGAACGGCAGTAGTCACTACGGCAGCTGGGATTGGTGGAAAATCAACATGCCCGCGGCGCTGACCTTCAATTTGGCAGATGTGGCATGGCAATGCATTCCATGATTCCTGGATTACCCAGGTCAGTTTTTCCTGACAGGTCTTCCCAAGTTTGAATATCGATGAAAAACAGTTGCCATTCAGTGGATGTTTCTATCACTGGATATTCTAAGGAAACTTGAGAAACACACAAACACATCTTTTTAAGGAGGGAGCCTTTTTAGTATCCATGAGTTATACATAGGGGGCCTTTTTTCAGGAGGGATTCCATGTCTTTTTTTTCCCAGGCCAAGTACAACTGGGACTTCTACACCGTTCCGCAGAAACACATGGATGGCCGACGTTTACATCAGCCCCGAGGGCGGGCGCTGGGAGGCTCTTCCAGTCTGAATGCCATGGCCTATGTGAGCCTCGGAGTTTATGTGATGTGGATGGCCGGGGCCCCACCACAATCATCAAATTATAGTTTTTTTAAATGGAATTTTAACCATCAGACAGGGAATATCGTTGAGACAACTTTAAATGATGGTTATTATTTTTTTTGACACCCGGGATGAGTTTCTCTCAGGAGAGGGCATGCCTTAGACTACGAACGCTGGGCGAAGGAGATTGGCGAAGGTGGTGATGCCTGGTCCTACAGGTGGGTTTTTTCGGGCTGGGGGGGACAATTTTTCATGGCTATAACTTATAACTATCGTATTTAATACGCACCATGGGATAGTTGGTATAGGTGGTTTTCCATGGGTTTGCCATGGGAAGATGGGGTTCTAATTTCACCATCGAATTTCATAGGTACCCAGTGACCATGTGCACCTGGGCATAAGTTATAGCCTATTAGCCCAACTACAGCTCTGAAAGGAGGGCTATTTATTTTAGGATGCCTTTTTTTGATAAGCTTTAGGTACAGTTTATTTTTGGAGTCCTGCTTTTCTGCTTCTCTGCGTTTTTTTGCGTTTCCTGCTTTTCTGCTTCTGTGCCTTTCTACTTCCACTTTTTCTGCAGTCATGCGTTTTTGCTGCTCTACTTCTTCCTGCTTCTTTGCTTCTCTGCTTCCTCTTTTTACAGTCTCTTTTCTTTTCTTTTTCTTTTGCTTTATTCTCTCCTGTTTGTATCCTAAATGAAAACCTATAGAAACCCTAGATGAAACCCAGAGACACCCTAAAGAAATCCTAATGAGAAACCCAACATGAAAGCTCGAAATGAAACCCTGTATGAAACCCTATATGCAACCCTAAAGAAACCCTAAATGAAACTCTAAAGAATTCCTAAATGAAACCCTAAATCAAAACCTAAAGAAACCGTAAATGAAACCCTAAATGAAACCCTAAATGGCACCTTAAAAGAATCCCTAAATGAATCCCTAAATGAACCCTAACGAAACCCTAAAGATATTCTAAATGAAACCCTAAAGAAACCCCCTAAATGAAGCCTGAAAGAAACCCTAAAGATACCCCAAATGACACCCTGAAGAAAGCCACGTGAATGTTTGAAGTACCAGCAAATACCATGCAAAACGAGAGGTTCTTCCGGCTCCAGGAACATCCTGCCCTACTACCGCAAAGCTCAAAGTCATCAAGCTGGCGAGTCCACCTACCGTGGAGGCCATGCAACGGGACAAAAACAATGGGAATTTGTAGATCCGAAGCAAAGCCATGGGAATTTCCATATTGTCAACTTGATGTCAACCCAAAAGTCGTTTTTTTTAGATGGTTTTGAACGGGAGCGTGCATAGTTATCATGGTTGAAGTTTATCCTAGGCATCGGCAACGGCCGAGTTTTCGATTGGGGACGCTAGTAGATTGATCCACTGGGGTGCAACCGCAGATCTGAATAAATCATTGAGCCTCAAAATTGGGTTCCAGCAGCCCCAAAATAAAGGATGAACGTTGGACACCTGGATTTTTTACATCCTCGAAACACCTTTGGGCATCTCTTTTTTGGCGGTACCCGGTAGCCCATGGGTTTACATGCCCAATTAATGAGATGCTTGAGTGGATCCCAGCACATTGGATCATGGCTAATGGACACTGGTTAGTTCAACTCCGATCAGCCATCCATTTTATTTGGAGTAAATATGGGTAAGCATGAAAACCCACCAGTTTTTCGGTGAAGATCTCCATCAATGGATTGGTTTCAGGGAAAAATAGGGAACATCTATGAAGAAAAATCCCGGTTAAACTGGCTGGTTTTCACCCCCAAAGATGGACCTTTTCCTTCCCGACCCCGCGACTCCCCGAGCTCGGAGGTTCGGGCCCCTTGACGGTGACGCAACGACGGACCAAAGCAGTAGAAGCCATCAACCAAGCCTTTGTGCTGGCGGGGGAGCAGGCGGCGGATTTACCATGCTATGGGATATGGGATACATGGGATGATGGCGGGATCTGGGAGAAAAAGTGGGAAATGATGGGAGATCGAAGTGCGAATGGGTTTAATGGGCGGATCAGGGGTGACGCTTTAACATCTGATGCTTGGTGTATTGGGACTCAAAAGGAGGAGATCTGCATCAATTGGACAGATCAATTGTAAAGATAGGAAATATATGGAAATATCTGGATTAATTGTATTGGTTATAGTAGGAAGATGATGGGATATACAGTAATAATGAGAAAGCATTGGGATATATAGATATGGATGTCCAATTTTAATGGCAGATGGCAGATGTCCTCTGGTAATTTAACAGTTTGCGAACTGCAACATCACCATGTTCATTCGGTAAATCAACGAACTAAAGGGCCATTTTCCATCTTAGTTTACCAGAGGCTATCCGATTGGGATTACTCTCCAGTAATCAAGCATGACTTGCTGGAAAATCCACCATGGTTGTCATTTTCCAAGCGAACGACACCTCCATTTAGTGTGGGGATGTCCGATGGCCACGTTTGAAAAAATCAGCGGGTAGGTCACCACTTGGTGGGGAGCAATCTCAACCTGAATGGGGGTACCCCCAAATAATCCATTTTAGATTGGGATTTTCCATGAAATAAACCATCCAGCTATTGGGGTACCCCCGTGACTCAGCAAACCTCCAAATGTCACGGGTCCGGGTTTCTTAAGTCACGGGGGATCCCCAGTCGCTGGGCAGTTTAGCCGCGTGAATCACAGCCTCCCAGGAGGGGTTTTGGAGTTGGGTGAACTTGGGAGCTCACATAAGGTAAATCAGAAGAATCTGTAGTTGATGCTTAACAAAGAGGTTTCCTAAAATGAGCATCTCCAAATAGAGGTTTCCTAAAATAGGGCTATTCCAAATCATCCATTTTTAAATGGGTTTTCCATTAAACATAAACCATCCAGCGACAAAGGGGTAACCTCATCTGAATGGCCAGCAGCGCAGCTCAAGGCTGGCTATCCCAGGACTGGGAAAAACTGGGTGACTTGGAGCTTGATGGCTTTCCCGCTGAGTTGAAACTTGAGATTTTCAGCTGTTGGAGTTTTGGAAATACTATGAACTACTGTGAACATACTGCCCGGAAATACTATAGATTTAAGATCCAAGCACAGTTTCTTTTTGTTTAAATGATTTTTGCTATAATTACTATGAATTGCAGCTTCCTAGATTGAAAGATCTTAACATGCCCTATTTTACTGAATATGAATTACACAATCCAATCTACGAGGTATCTCAGTTCTCACCCATCCCGGAGATCTTCAAGTAGCAGGGAGTCAGCAAGCACTGCCTCAGTTTTAAGAAGGAATCACTGTGTTTTGTCCCTTACACTTCCATGGTTGTGGTTATTTGATAGTATATATATATATATGTATATAATATATATATATCCAATATTATGACCGTTATTGATATAAGCCATGATAATTATCTATAGTCATATATTATTATTGTGTTCAATCACAACCACTAGTGCACAAAACGGCCGAAAGCTCTGCCATTCCAGGACAGATGACATGAACGGGTTCCAACAGGAAGGCTTTGGACCGATGGATATGACGGTCACGCCACCTGGCTGCGGCCTTGCCGACTGTCATGGCTTGCTGCAAAATAGGTCCCATGTATAATTTTCCCACCAAGACTTCCTTATTTTTGATAGGTATTTCCCAGCTTGCCGTAGCTTTGACACCTTTAGTTGGTCATATTTACCAACTCTTATCCCATTTGGAATCCCCATTTGGAATCCCCATCATGATCCCATCGACCCTAAGGCCTGATGGCAAACGAGCCAGCACCTGGGAATGCTACCTGAAACCCCTGATGCATCCGCAGACACCTGAGGACAGGGTCCACTGATGTCCACTGTGAACCCCCAGGGCGGGTCTTTCTCCGAGTTCCTGGCACTCGGTTTTTCATTTCGCAGGACGAAGCAGCCGGAAAGCGATTGAAGGACCGGATGTTGGGGATCTGCAGACAAGCTGAGCTTGTCACCCTGGACCAGATCACAGCAGTTGGCACCTGATGAGGATATTTATAAATTGTTCTTTTTTTTTGGACTTTAGCCAGCCCTTTTTATTAGGGATATCAACTTGAAATTTTTCTACATGTGATTATTTCTCATCCTCGGGTTGTGAACAACTCGTTCACCCACCGGTTGAGACCTAGGATTGTTTCACTAAAATGACATGACTCAGGGGTGAACCGTCCAATTATTCGGCTCTTTTTTCTGGTGCCAGAATCCAGAATCACCCGAGGCCGTTTTGGCAGTTTTGGCATAGGTTATTTCCTTTGCCCTATGAATGAAACATCGACTATATAATCAACCAAGCATATCGTTGTTGTTTCTTTCAATCAGGGTCTGGGACTAGCGAAAAGTTGAGTTGCTTGTTGTTCTATTGAGGGTAGCCTCTGGAAAAAAAGAACAGGTGGCGAACTGGAAAACCACAATTTTTGATAGATTCCAGAGAACATTCCCATCATATATGATATATTATATATACATATATATATATATTATATTATATATAATATATATTATATATTATATATACATATATATATTATATTATATATATAATATATATTATATATTATATATAATATATATTTTATTATATATATAATATATATTATATATTATATATAATATATATTATATTATATAATATATATTATATATATTATATATCATATATAATATATATTATATTATATATATTATATTATATGTATATGTATTATATATATATATTGTCCCATAGAATATCATTGGCTTGGCAATCAAACGTTGCCAAAATCCACCAAACTGACAGTTGAGATTCCCATGTTTGATTGCCGGAGGTTGATATCCTACGATTATACCATTATATCCTCATTAATGATTCCATTAATGTCCCTATCATGGTTATATTCCCATCATATTCCCATAGAACATCCCTATAAATCAGGATTAAATCCATATTTTCTGGTGAAATGATGCTTATATTCCCATCATTATTCTATATTATAATCCCATTAATTCCCATTAAACCTCATTATTTTTCCATTTTTTTCACATATCTTCCTTTGGATTTTCTCATTGAAAATCCATCAGCACCTCCTTTTTTCATGGGGATTTCCTATTGAAACCGCCATTTTTCATGGGGATTTCCCATTGACACCGCCATTTTTCATGGGGATTTCCCATTGAAACCACAATTTTTCATGGGGGTTTCCCATTGAACCCGCAATTTTTCATGGGGATTTCCCATTGAAACCGCCATTTTTCATGGGGATTTCCCATTGAAACCGCAATTTTTCATGGTGATTTCCCATTGAAACTGCAATTTTTCATGGGGATTTCCCATTGAAACCGCCATTTTTCATGGGGATTTCCCATTGAAACCTCCATTTTTCATGTGGATTTCCCATTGAAACCGCCATTTTTCATGGTGATTTCCCATTGAACGCAGTTTTTCATGGGGATTTCCCATTGAAACGTCCATTTTTCATGGTGATTTCCCATTGAAACCGCAATTTTTCATGGGGATTTCCCATTTGAAACCGCAGGGATTTCCCATTGAAACCGCAATTTTTCATGGGGATTTCCCATTGAAACCGCAATTTTTCATGAGGATTTCCCATTGAAACCTCCATTTTTCATGGGGATTTCCCATTGAAACCGCAATTTTTCATGGTGATTTCCCATTGAAACTGCAATTTTTCATGGGGATTTCCCTTTGAAACCGCCATTTTTCATCTGGATTTCCCATTGAAACTGCAATTTTTCATGGGGATTTCCCTTTGAAACCGCCATTTTTCATCTGGATTTCCCATTGAAACCGCCATTTTTCATGGGGATTTCCCATTGAAACCGCCATTTTTCATGGTGATTTCCCATTGAAACCTACATTTTTCATGGGGATTTCCCATTGAACCCGCAATTTTTCATGGGGATTTCCCATTGAAACCGCCATTTTTCATGGGGATTTCCCATTGAAACCGCCATTTTTCATGGGGATTTCCCATTGAAACCGCCATTTTTCATGTGGATTTCCCATTGAAACTGCAATTTTTCATGGGGGTTTCCCTTTGAAACCGCCATTTTTCATGGGGATTTCCCATTGAAACCGCCGTTTTTCACCATTGAAACCGCCATTTTTCATGTGGATTTCCCATTGAAACCGCCATTTTTCATGGTGATTTCCCATTGAACGCAGTTTTTCATGGGGATTTCCCATTGAAACGTCCATTTTTCATCGGGATTTCCCATTGAAACCGCCATTTTTCATGGGGATTTCCCATTTGAAACCGCAGGGATTTCCCATTGAAACCGCAATTTTTCATGGGGATTTCCCATTGAAACCGCAATTTTTCATGAGGATTTCCCATTGAAACCGCCATTTTTCATGGGGATTTCCCATTGAAACCGCCATTTTTCATGGGGATTTCCCATTGACACCGCCATTTTTCATGGGGATTTCCCATTGAAACCACAATTTTTCATAGGGATTTCCCATTGAACCCGCAATTTTTCATAGGGATTTCCCATTGAAACCTCCATTTTTCATGGGGATTTCCCATTGAAACCGCAATTTTTCATGGTGATTTCCCATTGAAACCGCCATTTTTCATGGTGATTTCCCATTGAAACCGCAATTTTTTATGGGGATTTCCCAGTGAAACCGCCATTTTTCATGGGGATTTCCCATTTGAAACCGCAGGGATTTCCCATTGAAACCGCAATTTTTCATGGGGATTTCCCATTGAAACCGCAATTTTTCATGAGGATTTCCCATTGAAACCGCCATTTTTCATGGGGATTTCCCATTGAAACCGCAATTTTTCATGGGGATTTCCCATTGAAACCGCCATTGGATTTCATGGGGATTTCCCATTGAAACCGCCATTTTTCATGGGGATTTCCCATTGAAACCGCCATTTTTCATGGGGATTTCCCATTGAAACCGCCATTTTTCATGGGGATTTCCATTGAAACCGCCATTTTTCATGGGGATTTCCCATTGAAACCGCCATTTTTCATGGGGATTTCCCATTGAAACCGCCATTTTTCATGGGGATTTCCCATTGAAACCGCCATTTTTCATGGGGATTTCCTATTTGAAACCTCCATTTTTCATGGGGAGAAGTCCCAGATGAATCTGATCCGCAGTTGATCAGCAACGAGATGGCTGTGCGGCTGTTGTTCGACAAGACAAAGGTGGTGGGAGTGGAGACCATCGCCTCCCCGAAGCCCAAGAAAGGCGCGTTGGAAAAATGGGGATCGTGGGAGATTTCACTGGGAATATCTGGAAAACCTATAGAAAACCATGATTTTTCATGGCATGTGAATGAGGTATGTCCTGGGAGATTAAATGAGATGTTAAATGGGATGTTAATGGGATGTTACTGAGAAATTCGTAGGAATGGGATATGAGTGGGATATGAATTGCGGGTATTAGTGGGATGTTATTGGAAATGACGCTTTGCTATATTGAACATGTCTTATTTCCCGCGCGGTAACTTATTCTAAAAAATAAGATGCGATGCACCCACACGAAATCATGTTTTGGGATAGGTTTTTTATGGTTTTATCATATTTTTCATATATTAATATATTTTCACTTGAATGTTCAAACAATCGAAACCATTTGAACATAATATGGGTCAAAATTCGATGTTTTTTTTAAAGATCGTTACTACGAAAAAAACCGAAGAGAATCTATGGCCGTGGATTCTGCCCTGTCAGGTGGTGGCTTTTACAGTGAGACCTCGGGTGTCACGGAGAAACACGTGGCCAAAAGTGAGGTGATTTTGTGCGCAGGTGCCGGGAACCAATTCAGAATGGCAGATGGATGGCGGTATCCAATGGTTATTCTACGATAAAAAAGAGACCTCTGGGGTATGATATTACCAAAAAACATACCCACATGAAACAAGAGTTCGGGGTCACAACTTTATGCCAGGTGTTAGAACGTCCAGATGTGTTGTCTGTTGGAGGACACCGCAGACCGCTACACCATGGAGGGAACATTTTCAGGAAACCCGTATATTTCCTGGTGAAAAACACCATGCCTAGTTGATTTTCCCAGTAAACCTCCATTTTCGAGGAGGATTTGCTAAAACATCCACAACCTTGGATAGTCCTCATTTTTTTTGCTACCCTCTGGTAAACGTTTACATAGCTATGGAAAATCACAATTTTTCATGGGAAAATTCACTATAAATGGCCATTTTCAATAGTTATGGTTAAATTACCAGAGGGTATTTTTTTAAAATGGAACATGGATGAACATGGCATAAAACAACCATAACCAGCAAGAGATGGCGCATTTTTTTGTGGACGACCAAAGATTGATGAGGCGCCGTGGGATCTCCTCAGCTGTTGATGCTCAGTGGCATCGGAAATGCCAAGGACTGGACCTGGATTTCATGGGATATTCACCATTAAACATATGGATATCAACATTAAACACAGGGATGACTAAGCACTAAGAATAGGGATTTAACCATAGTGATTTATTGGGGATTATGAACGACACCTTTTAGGACAACTTATCAACCAACTGGTATAATGAGATGGGATCGGGGTATTTTTGATGGCTCATGCGGTGTTTACCCCATGCCTGGCTGTGTTTCAGTTGGATTCACCGGCTTGGGTTTGCAGTTGAGGTTCCCATTTGGGGTACAACCTTGGTTATAAACCCAAAGAAGTTGGGGTATGACATGATCTAACCTCCATAATTATGCATATATATCCACTTAGCCAACTGGAACTGCACTTTATGAGGACTTGGAAAGACATGGAGTGCCGGTGCTATTGGACAAGCCAATGGTTGGGGAGAATCTGCAAGACCATTTGGAGTTCTATGTGCAGTACTTGATGCTGGCCCGCAGAATGGGAAGCTGAGAAGCCACGAAGTCAGTCTGTTTGGCGAGCTGAAATAGCGAGTTTTCAATTGGAGTGTGAACAACGGATATACTATGATATCTATGATTATGATTGATGATAGACATGTATATCAAATAATATCAAACATTACAATATCATCTCCATTCCAAATGAAAAGAGACCAGCATCTTCCTCAACTCCCCCATTTCATTGGCGTAGGTTTATCCCAGGAGCCAGTTGCCCTGCTCCCTGTACCCCTGGGCTGCCACAATTCCTGGCTTGGGCCTTCTCTCCAAATACGCCTACCGGCAGCCGTGGCGGGCTATCCAAGCGGGTATCTTATGGATGCTGGCGGGGAGAGGCATCGGCTCTTCCAACCACTTCGAAGTGGGTGGCTTCATCAGGTCCAGGGAAAATATGCCGCACCCGGATTTGCAGTACCACTTCATCCCAGGCATCGTCACAGGCGGGGCTTGACCCTTGACCCTTGCAATCGTGAAGGTCATCACAAAGACTTTGTATTCAATAAATCCGTTGCACAATCCATTGATAGATAATGGTCCAATTTATTTGCCACCATTCAAAAACCACACTTCTCATTTTTCCTCCAGGTTCTCATCCTTTTCCATCCCTTTCCTGCTTGATTTCTCCATTTTTCCATATTTTTTCCCCAGGTCAACTGGACTTCTTGGCGGAGCACGGCTACCAGGCGCACTGCGGCACCATGCGCCCCACCAGCCGCGGCACGGTGCAGCTAAGCAGTGGCAGCGCGTTGGATGCGCCGTTGATCGATCCCAATTTCCTGGCGACGGAGGAGGATCGCCGCGATCTCCGAGCGGGGCTGCGGCTGACGGTGGAAATCATGGAGCAACAGGCGCTACAGGAGTTCAAGCGCGACACTGGGACTGGAACGAAGTTGGGGTGTGGATTTGTGGGATTTCGAGGATCGAAGTTTCGTGATGTTCACGTCGTTGGTGAAATTCTCAGCACTTAGCCGAGGAGAGATATGCGCCGCTGTTAAATCTCAACTTGGACAGTGATGAGGAGGTCGATGCCTGGATTCGAGCATCAAGCCATTCAGGCGCCAGGGTGCATCCGGAATGGCGACAGCATTTTTTCTTTGGCCCCGTTTCATCCTTCCAGGTGATGTCCTGTTTGGGGTCACTTGTGATTTGTTCATTGCTGCTATTCTGCAAAGGTTATGTGGCGAAAATAGGTGTCTCTGGAAAAGACGTGTATCACCAATACATGTTTTTTTCAAAGGGGGAACTGATGAAGCAGTGGATGGACTGGGGTTTTCCTGATCAATATTGTCCTTTCAGGAAAAATGGGGGGCGGTTTGGGATACTTGGAGGATCATCCCAATCAGCTACTGATTAGTAACATTTAGTAACCATAGTTATGCTCCGGAAAAGTATATTATAGGATAACCATGGACAACCCACGAATGGGGGGCTTAACCAGGGTTTGGCAAACCACTTGCTACTGGAATTGGGATGATCCTCCAAGTATTTATTTTCATTTATATAGCTATTGGTTGGTTTTCATGGGGCCATCTATTCAGCGCATCCCATGGGGACCTTTTTTGCAATCCATCTACCACAGGTCATAGATGTTTCCCCAAAAATGGATGGTCTATAGTGGAAAATCCTATTATGGATGGTTTAGGGGTACCCCTATTTTAGGAAACCTCCAAATCATGTTCCCTTTATTTTCATATTCATATTCCATACATACTTAATCAGCCAGTGGCTGCACATTCTCAGTTTTTTTTTTGGGAGGGAAACCCTCTGAGTAAGTATAAGTGTAACATATAAACCGCATATTATAAATCCAAATATACCTAAGTTTCATGTATATTGACCTATGGACATCGGCTGAAGATGGCGATTTTCCATCGCAAACAGTTTGTCACTACGAGAGAGTACCTTCAACAAAACGATATATTCCATCTACAACGATCAGCATATGATTCATCTATTTCCCCATCTATTTTAAATCTATACATTCCCATTTACGCACAGTTGTCTACATACATATAGTTGTCTACATACATACATACGTACATACGTACGTACATACATACATTCATTCATTCATTCATTCATTCATTCATTCATTCATTCGTACATACATACATACATACAGACATACAGACAGACAGACAGACAGACATACAGACATACACACATATACACGCATACACACATATACACACACATACACACACATACACACACATACACACACATACACACACACACATACACACACACACATACACACACATACACACATACCTACCTACCGACCGACAGACAGACAGACATAACATAACATAAAATAACATAACACAACACACCTAGCACACCTAACACACCTAACACATCTAACACACCTAACACACCTAACACACCTAACACACCTAACACACCTAACATACAAAACATACACACAAAACATACAGAACATACATACCATACATACCATACATACCATACATTCCATACATTCCATACATTCCATACATTCCATGCATCCCATACATCCCATACATCCCATACATACCATACATACATACATGCATGCATACATGCACGCATGGATACATACATACATAAATACATACATACATACATAACGTACAAAACATACATCACATACATAGCATACATAGCATACATAACATACATAACATACCTAATATACAGAACATACCTAACATACATAACATACATAACTAACATACATAACATACATAACATACATAACACACATAACACACATAACACACATAACATACATAACATACATAACATACAGAACATACAGAACATACACAACATACATCAACATACACAACATACACAGCATACACAACATACATAATATACAGAACATACATAAGGTACATAACATACATAACATACATGACACATAAAATACATAACATACATAGCATACATATCTTACATGCCATACATACCATACCATACATACCATACATACCATACATACCATGCATACCATGCATACCATACATACCATACATACATACGTACCTACGTACGTACATACATGCACGCATGCATATACATATGTATATATATATACACATACATGGTTAACGATCTAAAGGTCCTTGTAAAGAGTTTTAATTGCGAAGACCGTTCTTGTTATGCTGGGAACCTGCGCGAAAGTTTTTTTTTTTGCGAGTTCACGAAATATTTTATTTATTCGCAAAATTTCGCGAAAGTTGGATATTTAACCGCCGTTGGCGTGTTCCGCCGGCTCACCTGTCACATGCTTCAACGTGATGCCGTTCTGTTTTCCCGCAGGGGCTCGCAGGAGATGTGGCAAGGCAATGAGGGTTAACTAATCGCACGAAAGGCACATGTTGCTTTGAAAGGTAGCTAGTGCATGGAAACATGGTACAGAGTATGCATGCAGGAGACTACCGATTAGTAGATTAGAAAAGGGGTTTGGCACATTTGTCGATAGTCCGGAGGCATGGTTGTACGAGGGTGTGTCGTGCTGCAGCCTTGATCTATCTTTGGGGCGTACGCCTCGAGGATGCAGGGTGAACGCGCGAGCGCTGTGGAGGACGATGTGTGTGAAGTTTTGGGAAAGCTGTATGCGATGGAGGCTTCACCACATCCGAGGAGAGGCTGGGAGAGGACAGTGGCGGCCATCGGTAAATGTTTGAAGAGGCAAGCGACGTTGCCAAGCAAGCCCGGTGGTGGCCATTGGACAAAGGAGGAGCAGTTGGACAAGGGAGTGTTTTTGCCAAAGCAGCATTGCCCTTTTGAAGGCTGTTCGTGGAGAGGGCAGGTGGCGGATGAGACCTTGGATCATGTGGCGGAGGCACATTACACCCCTGAAGTGGCCGAGGCAGTTCAAGCTTTAGGTGCCGTGGCATTTAAGGCTGCGTTGCATACGGTCTTGAATGCAGCAGTCAGTTGGTCATGCAAGCAGGGAGTTCCAGTGGTATCCATTGCTCAGGACCGGCGCGCGCTGAGGGTCTTCCATGAAAGTGTAACTCATGCAGACTTACAAGCCCTGATTTGCTTCTGTTGCGGCTGTGTGCACCCGCATTTGCCCGGAGAGCCGAGGCAGAAAATTAGCTGGAAGCAAGCTGGGAAGCCTGTGCCTGGCAAGGAGGAGGTGTTTGAAACTTTTTTGGGGCTGAGCCCGCAGCAAATAGAGGAGTTTTTCGGGATGGAGACATTCTTGAGGAGGTTTGGCAGTTGTGGCCCTGGGTTTCCGAACCTGCAGGAGGTGGTGTGGCAGAGGGAGTTGGAAGATTGGCAGTGCATTGTACCGTTCGAGATCGGGGATGTGCGGATCTTGTGCAATCCAGAAGATCGGCGGTGTCAGTTGGAACATGCTGCAGATATATGCTCGCAGTGTGAGGTTCCGATATGTTGTTCCTGCCAGAAGGCATTGCAGAAACGATCTCCGGAGATGCCTGTTAGGGCTTTGAGCAACAACCTTTGGACCGGCTTTGCAGCACCTATGCTGGCAGTGGAGGACGTGAGCTACTTGGAAGCGGTCTTGGCTTCTCCTTGCATGCTTTCCCTTGTTTGCTTCTCATTGGAGGTAAAGCATGGCAACGTGATGTTGGAAAAAGCGCAGCATCAGAGGTCGCGCGTGGGGGCTCGGGGCAACATTATTTCCATTGCCACTGCAGGATATTTTTCGGGAACTACAGCGGCAGGCAAGGCAACGTCCGCAGTTGCTTTGGGTCGGCAGGGAAATTGCGGATGCAGTGAGGATCGTGCTTCGGACCAGTGAGCTGACAGACGGGCGGGTCATTATGCAGGCCAGAGGCGGGTCATTATGCAGGCCAGAGTCCGCAGGAAGATTGTTGTGAGGTTGATAGAGGAGGCAGTAGCAAGAGGGCACCCGGCATATTCGAATGTGAGGATGGAAAGTGTGATGCAAAGGGCCCTGGAGCTTCCGGAAGATGGTGTTTTGGAGGAGTTGGTGGCGTTGGCGCGCCAAAGTCAGTCTGATATGGAAAACCTGCAGGCAGCGAAGCATGGCACGCCTCCGCTTGGTGAGCGCGAGAAGGCTCGTGCGTTTGAAGGGGTGCGTCCCTCGGCGGTCACTTCAGAAATGCCTACGAGGAGGTATGTGCAGGGGAGGTGGATGGCAGAGCATGGCAGGATGTGGCTGCAGCTGTTCGGGGAGAAGAGATGCACGTATTCACTGGCAGTGAGATGGTGGATCAGTTCACCAGCGACTTCTTTTGCCAGGCTGGGAAACAGAGGGTGTGAGGAAGAAGGGTGGGCCCTAAGTGTGCTTTAGTTTTTGGTTTATAAGTACGAACAAATGGAAAATGTTTCTTGACTGCAGGCATTTCCTTTCGTCTTCAAGGGGCAGTTGGCCATGCCGGACATGGAGAGGCAGCCCAGGCGACGGGCAGTTGCCGTGGAGTTGGCAGAGTTCACGGAGCTAATGGGGCAGCGGGTGGAACATCAGTTTGGTGGAGATTGGTGCTTTTCGTATGTTCGATGGAATTACTGGTTCAGGCAACAGCTGCATCGTGCAAGAGGGCTGTCCCTACGGCGTATAGGCGGTGGGGAAGATGGAGAAGGTGAATTGTGAGGAAAGGTGCTGAAGAATGCGGCGTGTGAGATCAGTGCGGGTTTGTCTGGCAAAAATGGGGAGCGATGGGCAAATGCGGCCTGTGGGTGGGGACCTCAACAAAGTTGCCTATGTTCCAGGCCTATCCCAGGAGGCTTTGCGATTGCTGCAGGAGGCGAGACACATCATGGGGAAGCTGCATGGCACAAGTGGTGTGAGGACTTTGATGAGGTATCGGGCCAAGGCTATGCAAGTTGCGTATGGTGCACCCGTGTTTGTGACGTTGAGTCCAGCAGAAAAGCATAACTACTTGATGCTTCGCCTAGCAAGGTGGCGCCGAACAGACCCAGCGGTAGTGCAAGATCCTTCGCTGCAGAAAGTGAGTGGCAGGCCGTTTGCAGCCAGGCCCTGAAGACAGGAGTGCATGGCCAGACTTCGAGGAGAGACGTCAGGTACTGGCTCTGAAACCAACAGCGGCTGTGTTGGGCTTTCGAGTGCATGTGCTTTTGCTGTTGAGAGCAGTCTTTGGTATCCGGACATGCTTGTTTTGCCCCGCGTGTCAGTCGCAGAAGGATGCTGAGTCGTTTTGTAGCGATCTGGAGGGGAATGCCTCAGAACTGGTAGGAGGTGCCTTTGGGCGGTCATTGAAAGTTTGCAGCAAGTGGCCACGCTGGAGGAACTTGGCCAGAGGATTGTGGCGGAGGGCGAGGCAGTGGTGGAGGCGTTTTGTTTCAAGCAGCATGTTTGCATGCAAGAGCATGCGATGCCCAGCAGATGGGATGAAGGTGAGAGGGCCCGCGTGGAGGAGGCTTGGCCTGATTACAGTGAGAGGGAAGATCTGTTGTTGTTGCCTCAGTTTTTTGGAGATGCCGTGGAGGAATGGGGCCTGACGGAGGAAGAGATGGTGTCTGAAGGGGAAGTCTGGAAGCAGAAGTACAGAGGGGATGTGCAGGAGGTGCAGATGACGCGGCAACATCATATCCACCCAAAAGATAAGAAGGGGGAAAGGCAGCCTCTGGCTGGGTGCAGGAAAAGTGAGAACAAGAGCCAGTGTCGTGCAGGGTATCCTATGGACAGTCAAGTGACGTCGGAGGGCATGGTAGTGTGCCCGGGAGTAGCGGAAAAATTTGGCTTGGCTTTGACTGGAAGGCGGAACTCACTAGGTAGCTTGTTTGGACCACGAAGCTGTCCGTGGCTGAATGGCAGTCATCCGGCATTGCTAGCTGCTGGCAGACACAACTCGGATGTGCAGTTGAGTTGCAGGTTGCCGCTTTGCAAACAGAGCCACTGGAGTCTCTGCAGTAAGCAATGTGTGGAGCAGGTGGGGGCAGCAGAGCTACAGAGAATAGCGCAGGCAGCCATGGCAGCCCAAATTGGATATTCAACTGACAGAGGCAAGCGGGTAGTTTATATGAATGCCGTGAATTTGCCCGTGGGCATGCAGCCATGTCTCGGAAGATAGCAGGTGAAAAGTCGATCCCGCAGGTGAGCAGGAGACATGCCCAACGGATTGTGGCCGACTGCTTCGTTCGGGGCATCGTGCGAGGGGCCGTCGAAACAGAGAACCTCAACATGCATGCTGTGGCGACGCAGTGGGACCCTTGTGCGGCTGAATGCATGCAAACTTTTCGGACAGCGGTGTTGCCTGGAGCGGCGCTGTTGGAGGTCATAGAGCGCGCCTCAGAGGGCAAGTCTTTGAGAGGCATGAAGGGCAATCTGCAAGTGGTGCAAGGTGAAGTGGTGCTGCGGGACTTGGCCCTTCTGTATGGTTTGAGAGGAAGTGAGGTAGCTGTGGCTTATTTAAGCCCGTATGAATTTGTGCGTTACTGGGAAGTGAAGTTGGTAGCAGTTGTTGGCCAGGAGCCTGGGCGATGGAGGAGGGTGGTGCGTTTCCCCGAGTCTGTAGAGTTTCCAGAGTTGAGCAGGATGCTTGGTTGCATTGAGGGTATAGCAATCCTTGTGTGTATCGGTGCTTGTTTTAGGGCGTACGCCTTGAGGCAAGTGCCTAGGCGGTTAGAGGGTTTGCTGGGCTTCCGGGAGCTGAGCACATGGCTGTCGGGTGTACGCCTTGCAGCGGAGTAAAAAAGAGGCTTTGGAATCTTTAACAGGAAAAACTATAAAGCATGGCCAGTTTTTCGGTGGTGTTGTGTGAGCTGAGGATGTGGTGCATGGTTGAAAGATTGCATCCCGTGGCGCCTGAATTCAGAGGGTGTCCAGTAGGACGGCCAGGAGCGATGACGCCAGAAGGACGAGCGCAGCTGCTGTTGGTGTATTTTACGCCTTGGGTGCTGGACGGGAGCATGGAGAGGCCGCCGCATGTGGTGCACGCGCAGCAGTTGCAGGCAGCAGGAGACGATGGGCAGAGAAAGTCGTGGCAGGAGGGTTTGAATGCTTACCTGAAGAGAGGGTGCCTGAGCCAGGAAATTTGCCAGATCATGCAGAATTTCATTTTGGTTTTTTTGTGCGGTATCCGGCCGCCAGTGGAGAGGATGAAAGTGACGATGGGGAGCAGGATGTTGAGCTCCAGCCGTCGGGAGCTTAGTTCAAGCCTAGTTTGAGTCTATAGGAATCAATCTGAAGTTTGTTTTGGAAGGTGAGATGCATAACGAAGTAGCATTGCAGTTTTGGGATCAAAGGTCTGTTAAGAATGGTAGGGCTACCGCATGTCTTACTGCTGTCACTTTGGTCAGTCACTAGTAATGCAGGGCGCACATTGCAAGGTGGAAATTCCATCAACTGTACTTGATGGTTTGAACGGAGAGTCTGAGGTCGGAGGCAATCTTGGAGATGGTCTTACCTACGAAGATTGGAGGGGATCCGCGAAGAAGGGCTGGTTTGACGCACTTTGAGAACAGCTCTCAGGCCTTTGAGCGAGTGCATGTGCTATGGCCGGAAAGTGCAACAACTTTTGGAGTCCATGACAGCATAAGGCAGCACCGGTGGAAAGACTGCAGTGGATTGTTGAGCAGTGTGAAGAAGTTGGGCAAGAACAAGCGAAAGAGGGAGACAGGGGAGGGCAGAGAGGAAGTAGCAGGAGGCAGAGGCTTGGATGAAAGAAAATGCTGCCCACTTGAACTCGCAGCAGCGACTGGTGTTGCAGAAGCATGTGGATCGTGCTGCGCAGGAGGCGCGAGAGGAGAGGACGGCAAAGAAGAGCAAGAGCCCGCCCTTGATGCTGTTAGTGCACGGCGGGCCAGGCACGGGCAAGTCCGCCGTGATTTTTGCGTTGAAAAAGTTTTACGTCGATGTGATGAAGTTCGAGATTGGGCACGAGCTTTTGATTGGATCCCTGCAAGCGTCTGTCGCAGCCATGCTTGGTGGTGAGACACTGCACCACATTGCCGGCATCAATCCATATCACTCGCAAGGTTCAGGTTCAGACATGAGTCAGGAAGTGAAGCAGAAGGAGGTCAGTAGGAGGCTGGCATTTGCGCGCCACTTGGTCATAGATGAAGTTTTTATGCTTAGTGCGGGGTTCTTTGCAGAAGCGGAGGCGCATATCAGAGCAAAGGTGCCGCAGAATAGTTCTTTTAGAGAAGCAGAGGACGACCATGTTTGGAGATGTGAGGCAGATAGATCCACCTGAAGGTATTGCGTTGTATACCGTGCCGCAATCCTTTTTGACGCGGCCCCCGTCCACAGCTTTAACGCCTCTGGCTGCTCAAGGCCTGGAGTTATTGTGGGGGCAAGGCGTGGAGTTGATCGAATTTCTGGAAGTCTACCGGTGCAAGGACCCTTGGTGGCAGCAGGCGAGGGGGGCAGAGCACAGGGCGGGGCATGTTAATGTAGCGCGGGGGTGCGGCAGGACATCAAATGGCAATCTGTCGGAGGGTCGGGTTGAGCAGGGGTGTGCCAATGGACTGCCCCTCGCAGGTCTTGGAGGAGTTCCGTGTCATGGATGTTACGGCGAACACTCATGCGTTCTTGCATGGTTTGGAGACGACAGTGCCGGGATCTTATTTGAAGGGGCAGCTTCTCTGTGGGAATATGAATTGCAGGGACTTGGAACAGAAGTGGCAATTGCTCAAGCAGAAAGGTGCATCCTGGGAACAATGCCGAAGCTTGGAATGTGCAGTGTGCTCGCTGGAACGTCAGAGTCGGTGCAGAGTCTTGCAGGAGAGGGCCCCTAGTGCGTACGTGTTGGGGGACGCTCCTGTGGATGCAGCACTGGCGCTGGAAGGCTTCAAGGAGGCTCCGTGTATAGTGCCAAACAATGACACACGCACTGAGATCAACAAGGCGCGCAGTCTGCGCTTCGCGGCAGAGAGAGAGGAACAACTGCAATGGTGTATGGCGGAAGACATCATTTCAGCAAAAGCTTTGCAGATAGAGCCAGAGCTGGGAAGGCGGAAGGTGGAGTTCTTGCGCCGCACGGATAAATCATGTGGTGACCTCTCTGGCATCGTTCCCTTAGTGAAGCAGATGCCTGTATTTCTGACCCAGCACGTTGACAGGGATCCAGAAAGGAATCTTTTGAAAGGACGCCGTGGCTTCGTGGAGGACTGGATTTTGGATAAGGAGGAGGTGGAAGGAGACCCTACAGCAAAGGAAGTTGTGCTGACCAGGCCGCCAGTGTGCGTGATTCTATGCTTCCCTGAAGGGACGTGGAAGCTACCGGGGCTGGAGCCAGGAAGTTATCCAATCCAAGTTTGGAAGCAGGATTGGTACGTTGACCAGAAACAGCGCTATCCCAAGCTACGCGTAACCAGGAGACAGCTGCCATTTTGCCCTGGTTTTGCTGGCACGGCGAATTTTGCGCAAGGTCAAAACTTAGGGAAGGTATTTGCTGATGTTAGTATTGCCGATGGAACCTCAGGGCAAACTTGTTATGTGGCACTCTCGCGCGTCAGCATGCGGCAGGATATTTTTTTGTTGAGGGAGTTTCCGCGGGAGATGTTCAGCAAGGCGGGGAAGGCAATCCCGGAGTTGCTGTTGCAGCATTTGAAAAATGAGCAGATCGATTGGGCCAGAGTGACGGATGACTTGCTGGGGCCGGAGACGCAGTCTCGGTCTGCAGGTTGGCAACCTTGGCTAGAGTGTCACACCTGTGGTTTGAAGCCAGTAGCAGATTTTGCAGACGTCGAGCTGGAAAGAGGTCGTGACAGGCAGTGCCACCGTTGTGTGGGCAAGCGCAAAGAAGGAGTATGTAAGAAATGTGACAAGCCTTTGGAAAGAGATGGAGGAGGGAAGCTATGCAACCATTGTGCAAGCCGTTGTGAAGTCTGCGGCGGAGTTGTCGGCCTGAATGGAATAGGAGGGCGGTGCCATGGCTGCATGCGGAAAGTGCGTTGTGAATGCTGCAGGGAGTGGATGAGGAGCACCCGTAGAGTTCATCAGTTATGTGAGAATTGTCAAGATGCATTGGAATGTGGCAGATGTACAAAGCCGCGTATTCGGAATGCGTGCAGAGGGCACCGTCGAATCTCACACGAAAGCAGCAAAGGAGATGCAATGCTTGCATTGCGGAAGAAACGGAAGTGTATGCTGAGATGAGAAGGAAGATTTGGAGGAAATGAGAGGCGTCAGTCAAAGAAGGCTTGGGCCATCGCTTGGGGCGGATGCCTCGAGAATGATGGCCGGGGGTTTCCTGCACAGGCGTGGCGGGAAGCAGGTAGCCAGTGGAATGCCAAACGAAGCAATAGTGGTTTATTTTGAGTTAAGGACAGAAAGACTCAGCAGCTTTGCAATGGCAGGCGGAGCGTTGGCGTGGGAGAAGAGAGGCAGCAGGGTGGGGAGGAAGGCAGCGAAGCGTGCGGGTTGCGAGTTGTTGCTGATGAACTGAAGGGGGCTGGGGCATTTGTTGACCAATTTGTATATAGTTAGGGGTGGTATGACCCCAGCCTTGGAGGGATTTGGTTCTGGGTCCACGGAATGAATTTGGTGAAGAAAGGAACAATAATAGCACGACGTTGGTTAGGGAGATATGAGACAACGAGACAACCTTTGAGAAAATATACCACGCAAGAGACGATGAGAGAATTATGAAGACAACATGTCAGCTGGGGCCAGCAAGGATGCTGGAGTGCATCATTGGTGCTGGATGACGCAGGACCGGAAGGATTGGAAGGGGATGCCAGTTGTCGCGGTAAGCAACTGTGAGAGTCTGGGGTGCACACTTCGGGTGCGAACGTAGAAGCTGTCCTGGTGGTTGACTTGGCAGTAGTTGTATTTTAAACATAAATCAGCAGGAGGATTGGAGCTGAGCTGTGTAGCATAGGAAAGGACAAGAAAGCATTGGAGCCAGGTTCCAAGAGGGAAGGGTAGCATAGAGCAGCCTGCACTGCCATGGCGAGCGAGGCGGCAGAGGAAGAGGCGGTCGCTATGCGGCTGGGAGCAGTGACGAAGGCTGTTGCTGAGATGGATCTGGCAGGCCTAGGCCAGTTGGCCACCCAAGAAGCTGTGGACTCCTACATCGCTTCTGCAGGGGAAGCCTTGGAGACACGAGCCAACCAGGTGCTTCAAGCTTATGGTTGGCTGGGAGATGTTCCGCCTGGTGAGAAGCTGAAGGCGATGGTGACTTGGCCACTTGAAAAGGCAGAAGAAACTCAAGGCCTGGTGTTGAAGAAGTGGGAAAGCATTTGGGGAAACCTGCCCCCAACGGCACAGCAGCACCTAGACGCAGCCAGCTTCAAGAAAGCATTTCTCTTGGATGAAGGGTTCTCGCTGGCCAAAAAGCATCTGCAGCAAGAGAAAGCAGCAGAAGGGTCTCCAGCAAAGCGCCCCCGGCAGGATCTGTTGCCAAGCGTTCCTGCAGGGCTGGCAGGACAGACCATAGAAGAGATTCTGCAGAATGGGCGCAGTGCCAACCGCTTGAAGTGCTGGGTCCTGGCAGCAACAGGCTCCCCGCAAGCCCGCAAAACAGGGAGAGGCAAACCATCCAACATTGTCAGCATCCTTGTGAGTGATGGCAAGATGGATGCAGTCATCACCTGTTGGGGAGAATGTGCCAAGACTCTACACGATGGAGCTTCAGGCCGCCAAGGCCAACACATTGCCTTGGCTCCACTGGGCGCAGGCACTAGGAATCCTCGAATGGGTTTGCCAGAGCTGCTGGGCGGACGTGGTTTGACAATCGAGGTGGTAGCAGATGGCGAAGAAGAAGGGGTGCCTCCGCCAAGCTTCTTGCCCTTGCAGCAGCTGGCAGAGGTTGGCGATTGGGCGTCAGTGAACATCCAGGGCCGTGTGCTAGAAATCATGCCTGGGGGTGACTTCAAAGTGGTTGACGATTGCGGCGTAGCCGTCCGCGTGCACGCGGAATTGGCACGCCTCCCGCAGCTTCAGGAAGGGCAAAAAGTCGATCTGCTGCTTGCAACCAAAAGCAGCAGATTCGCCAACGTCTCCATCTCGAGCTTCACGGCCATCCGGCCGGGGGAGCAGCTGGATCCCGAAGCTGTGGCCCTGCCTTCTCGGGTCATCTTCGCCTTGTAAGTGGTCGATGCAGCCCAATGGCGGCTACCTGGGGCGTACGCTTCGGGATGTGCCAAGGTGGAAAGATTTCCTGTGGTTGCTTACAGCCCTTGAAAGCACCAGCTGCGGCCCGTCTGCGGGAGAGCCTGTGCAGAAGGTGCATGCAGAATTCAAGAACAGATGGAAGACGGGTGCCCTTCGGGGCATCTTTGCCCTGTGAGTACTCACCTACGGCGGCCACCTGGGGCGTACGCTTCGGGATGTGCCAAGGTGGAAAATCTCACTGGTTTCCCACCTTCTTTGGAAGTGGAAAGAGTGGTGCTGGTCTCCTACCCCCTTTGAAAGCACCAGCCGCAGCAGAAGCTGGCCCATACTTGCTTTGGCATGTAGAATTCAACTATGGGTAAACGCCCGGTACAGCATTAGTTTTTGGAAAAGCGCCCTATGGCTCTGGGGGCTTTCTGAAGTGTAAGCTTCGGGGAGCACCCAGGTGGAAATAGTGCGTTTGCCTGCTTTGCATTTTGAAGCGCTAGGCACGCCTTCGCTGGCGGAGGCCTTGTGCAGAAGCTGGCCATCGTTGCTATTGCATGTAGAATGCTAACATGGATTTGAGGCCTGTCGACAAAAGATGGCAGTGCACGCGGATCCAGATTGCAAGTTGGCAAAAAAGAGAGACATGCTTGGGTCTTCGGCCCGTGAGATTTGAGTTTAACGACCAACGTATGAGGACACAAGCAGACACATGGCTGATGACATGTGATTGTGTCAGAAAACAGCAGTCAGGGCCAGAGTAAAAAAATAAGTAGCCGGGCTTGAGTGTGCATTTTGCAATAGTGTTGAAGCTAGATGTCGTTGAAAGATCCAGTTTTGTGGCCGAGTGCCGCTCTCGAGTGGGGAGTCAGTGCCGTCGTGGTAGCCAGTGGTTGGCTGCTGGAGACCAACCACAAAAGCTAGAGTCCCAGAACCTAGAAAAGAAGAGTCTTGGAAGCCTGCAGGACACGCGGAAACCTTTGGAGGCAGGGGGAAGGGGGCAGGACCTGTGCCAAGAACGTGACAAGAACTTACGTGTAAAGTCGGAGCGACCAATGTAAAGGCACAGTGGTTAAAGTAGTGAGGCAGAAGACGAAGAAGACAAGGAGATCAAGAGAGATGCGCGTGTGTGTGTGTGAGAGGGAAAGGTGCAAAGGCGCAAAATGCAGTGTTTTTTCAATGTTTTGTGGTTTTGGAGGCTCGAAAGGTTAGCTCGCTAAAGCGGTGGATGCGGAGATATCAGCTGAAAAAGATTCAGGAAAAATTGCACCTCCTTGTGGCGCGAAGCACATTCCAATGCACAAAGTGGCAACAACCAAGAGTGCGGAGGCGCTTTTTTAAGTTAAGATGTGACGGACGCAGTGCCCAACTTTTCAGGTGGATCTGGATGGAGAACATTGCAGCTGCTGTGTCCAAACGGTTGCGCCGAGCAGACGCAGGTGGCCCATGGAGGTATCCGAGGTGCAGGTTGATGGTACCAAAATGGATGATCATGGGTGAAAACCGCTTCATGAGTTATTTTCCTAGATATCTATTTGTTGATCATGATTGTATGTACTTTCGGGTGTGCGTCAAAATGGGAAAGACCGAAATGTGCAACTTCAGTAGGGACAATTTTGAGGTACTCTGATTTTGCGCCCAACTTTTCAGGTGGATCTGGATGGAGAACATTGCCGCTGCTGTGTCTAAACGATTGCACCGAGCAGACGCAGGTGGCTCATGGAGGGATCCATGGTGGCCGAGGTGGTGGGTGATGGTACCAAAATGGAAGTTCATGCTTCATGATTTATTTTCCTAGATACCTATTTATTGATCATGATTGTATGTATTTATAGGTGGACAATGGTTTGTTTTACCATCCATTTTGGGGTACTCTGATATTGAGGCAAACCCATAATGTCTAGATATGATTATGAATCTGACAAGTATATGATAACATAGATGAGGGCCGTCGCAGCAAGTAACCCTTGGGATCAACCAAAACCAGGCCATAGTTGCAGGTCGTGTGATCTTGGGACATGCCCGTGCTCACTTGAGCCGATGTAACCCTACAGTTGATCAGCCAATGAGACGAGCATGGCGCCATGGCAGGTCATGTTGGTTGGAAGATCTATGCTTCGCCCATTCGACTGTTGATGACAGCGGTCGCAGGTCGTGTGATACGCAGCGCGCCAGATCTGGTGGCGCATGAATTTAAATGGGATGCATGGGCTGTAAGTAGATACTATTATGTGATGATCTCTTGAAACTGTGTATTTTGCAACTCACAGAGAGCATGTTTGCGGGCACCCTCCGACGGCGACAGAGGTATCATACATCTTCACAGTTATTTTATTTCTGACGAAATATCGGATGTAGATATATAGATAGCAAAATATAGACAGATGTTATACACATATGATCAGTGGATATCTGGAATATCCCATGTTTCATTAGACAATGTATATGTTCAGGGTATGTCATGTTGTTCTTAAGACTTACGCAGTGCCCAACTTTGCAGGTGGATCTGGATGGAGAACACAGCAGCTGCTGTGTCCAAACGGTTGCACCGAGCAGACGCAGGTGGCCCATGGAGGGATCCGTGGTGGCTGAGGTGCAATGGTGAACCATTTCACTGTTTCAACGTTTTCGAGAACCCATGAGATTCAAACGATGAATAAGACTTCCAATGATGTTGAGTCGATGGGTCATAGTGCGACAGGGGAAAATGAGCTCAAATGATCTTGAGCCCATGGGCTCAAAGTGCGGCAGGGGAAACGAAACGCCAAAGAGGGTACCATGCAGCCAGAAAAAACAAGAAGTGTATAGATGACTGTTGACAGCACGTCAGATGGCAAGAAGAAAGCAAAGTGAAACTAGTGACAGAATATGAACACACGAAAAGTCTACCCAGCAAGCACGGTTGGCAAGCAAGGTGCGACACAAACGCACGAACAGGTGACAGCCATGGCAGCGACACTGCTGCAAGAATATACTTGGGAAATACCCCAAGTACACCGGCGAGCGTCGCGGACAGTGGCTCCGCGTCAGCTGCGGAAGACAAGCAAGGGCCTGGTGGCGGTGATGAGATCGCAGAACGTCCTCAATTCTGAGAATGCGAAGGAGTGGCTGCAGCAAATCGACGCTGCGCCACCAGCCCCTATAGCCTCCGTGTGGACTGAGGTCGATGCTTGGTTTGTGCAGCGGGGCCACCAGTTTGCCGTGGAAGGGGTGCGTCCCCTTGCCTCGCTGTGGGGGTCGGCAGAAGAGTTACCGCCAAATCTGGCAGTGTCCTTAGCAATGCATGGGCAGCTGGCCTTGCCAGAACAACCGGTGTTCGCAGAAGAAGAAGAATGGCGTCTGTACCCTTTGAACTTCGCTCCACCAACCCCAACGGCAGCCGCGAACCAAGCCGGGTTGCACAAGTCCGTGCCTCACTGGAACAAAGGATGGAAGATCGAATATCACGGATCGAGCCTATACGGGATCAGCAGCGCCATCGCGGTGGGCGAGGTGTTCCCCAGTGAGCCCGATACTGCGGCCCATCGCTCTGCTTGTGGAAGAGGCGCCTATTCCACAGGTTCGTTGAAGATGGCAGCTCGATATGCGATCACTCACTATTTTCACGACCCGCTTGCGCCAATGCATCCTTGGGTCGTGAAGATGGTGCTGTTGATTGGCATTCCCAGCGACGGGGGTGACTTGCCGGTGGCAGCATGGGAGCAACAAGACAGAAGTGGCCTCTCGAAGTCCGAGAAGAAGAGAACCCCCGCCTTCAAGCTCACCGAGGACGACGACAGGCTCAGCAAGCGCCAGATGCGTTCAGAACAAGGAGGACGTGCTCGTGAGAAGGACTGGACCACTGAGGCTTTGGACTACAGTCAATCCACAAGCTCTAGGGGGTACCCTCTGGGGATTTGTGTTGGGGCCATGAAACCAAAGGTGGCGAAAAAATACGCCCAGGAAGGAAAAGTGCCCATGATCACTGCGAAGTGGCACCTTGAGGCGGAATTGCCTTGGGCGCGGCCATTACGTTGAGTCTGAAACGGGTGAGATCCACAGTGGATGCTTTGGCCTGTCTATGTGGTGGGATGGGTTTGGTCGCCACGCTCCCTGGGGCGTACGCCTCGGGGCGCTGGGTGGCCAATGAGAAGCGATCCTTCTGCAAGTGGAGCTCAACCTTCAAGGGGTGATGTGCAAAGTGGTTGCTTGGTGCTAGCTTCAGCTTTTGCAAGCGTATGACAACTGCTCCTTGCAACCCGTTCTGGTGGCTATGGTGGCTATGTGCTGGGATGGGTTTGGCCCCGAACCTTCCTAGGGCGTACGCCTTGGGGGGGTGGGTGGCGAAAGAGAATGCTGTTTTCTGCAAACAGTGCGGAAACACTCTCCATGCTTTACCGAACTACCGAACTGCCGGGACAGGCCAGAAGTGGCCATGTGTGGAACAAAAAGAGGGGCGGTGTGGCCGGGCAGCGATGCGTTGAGCCCAATGCAGAAGCAAAGCTGCACGGCATAGGTGACAGAGAGGGAAGTATTCATTCTACAACATGTGGGACATGTCCAAACACATTCGTATTGGAATGCTTTCTTTCATTGGTGTTGGGGATTTGCAATGTGTTGTCGCCAACATGTGGAATTTGCATCTTCATCTTGCTGAGGTTGTAGAGGTTAAGACACAAAGTATGGTATAATGACTAGCAGTACCTGATCTAGGCGATCCCCTGCAAGGATACCCCGTCTCTCCATGTTATGTGCCTGTTACAAGCAGACATATATACATAAGAGACATTTAGGAGATGGATATATATATATGTATATCCATACAGATAGCTAAGACAAAGAGTTAGATATGAACATATGTATGTAGTTGTTCATTTCTTCTTTGCATATATACATAGAAAATCGGCGTGCCTGCACGTACAGTCGGCGATCCCTGTATGTGCCACGAGATCGCATGCGCGACAGAAGTCATTGACGGGGCTCCATGCGACCTACATGCAGTAGCGTAAACCTGTTTGCCGACAGGTACGGTTCTGGAGCTTCCTCCAGATCGTGAAGCAGTTGCAGCAGATCTTCCTTGAGTTCCAGGCTTGGTGGCCGAGAGGGGGAGGTTCAGGTGGCACTCGGAAAGCGCAGCAGCACGTACAGTCGTCGATCCCTGTATGTGCCAATTGACGGGGCTCCGTGCGACCTACATGCAGTAGCGTAAACCTGTTTGCCGACAGGTACGGTTCTGGAGCTTCCTCCAGATCGTGAAGCAGTTGCAGCAGATCTTCCTTGAGTTCCAGGTGGCACTCGGAAAGCGCAGCAGCTAGGCCATCATTAGCCTAAAAACAAGAGTCAATTGGTTTTGCTTGGAATCACATTTTGCTTTCGACCGGACCGGCAGGTTTGGCCCCCATCCCTGGGGCGTACGCCTCGGGGGGCCGGTGGCTAATGAGAAGCGTGTTTTCTGCAAATAGTGCTGAAACACCCTCCACGCTTCACGGAACTGCAGGGAAAGGCTGGAAGTGGCCATGTGCTGAGCAAAAAGAGGGGCAGCGTGGTGCCGTACTGCATCAGCGAAAACACATGAACATTTCGCTTGGAATATTCTCTTCGATTGGCATTTGAGACGTGCACGGTGTTGTGACCAGCTTGTGCATTATGCATCTTGATTTTGCTGAGGCTGCGCAAGTTGAGACACAAACCGTGGCAGAATAAACAGTAGGTTTGCTCAAAAGCCTTTCCAATGGAAATGGATGAAAGTGTGTTGTTACTTGTTGAAACACATCAAGTGGTTTCAATTTGGATATGTCTGAGATCAGGTCTGTGGTGCGAGGTTTTAGACGTGATACATGATGTGATAATACGCAGTATATGAAATGAAAGTATATCAGCTGAAGAGCAAAAATAGCAGAAGAGCCGAATAGCATCCAGGACAGTGCGTGACCAAACCATATAATTATAGTTTTATTTACACATGCACATATATACATATAGACACAGATATCTTTAGATATGTACCTGGACTTTCCCTAGCGCGTGAAACGTGAAACAAAAAACAATGCGTGGGCGAAGCGCGGGGCCAACTTCAACGAATGGCAAAAGGCAAAGCAGAGAAAGCAGGCAAGGAACATGAGACAAGAAAAGGAGACCGCAAGCATCAGGACAAGAAGAAAGGGAAGCAAAAGGCAAGGGGAGCATACAGATCAGAAAAGGCAGGCCAAACGCAGAGGAGGCAACCAAGGGACACATAGAGGGCATGGAGCAGGAAGGAGGAGGAGCAACATATGAGATTATATAAAGCAATATGAAATGAAGCGGGGGGGGAAGGGGGGGGGGGGGGGGGAGGGGGGGGGGGGGGGTCGTAAAAATCCGCGCCAAGAGGAAAAACTAAGAACACAACAACAACAGTAACAGGAATATCCACAAAACACGCCGGCAAGCCGGCGGATTATGAATCATTGTATACATTAAATTTCAGCTTGTTAAGGGCTACCACCTCCTGCCGCCCGGGGGTCGGGCAGGAGAATGGTACGGCACATTCACCTTTCCCTTCATAGGTAGTAGGCAAATACCATGGTCTTGAAGCACATCCTTGCACCTGCCGCTGGTACTGCCGTTGCTTTCTGAGGTCTCAAGAAACAAGCTCCAAATGCAGCAGCCAAGCTTCCAAAAGTGAGGCTTTGCGAGAGCCAAACACCAAGGCCCCTGGTGTTTGCTTTTCCTCTGATGCACCCCCTGCTGAGGGTCTGCGGATAGGGGTATTTTCGCAAAAGTTCCGCGAAAGTTCTGCGAAGGAGCGGGCGAAAGTCAAAGTGCATTTTGAAGGGAGTGGCCCAGTAAGCCTTGCAAAAAAAATTGCTTAATCAGCAACAATTTTTCCTGAGAAGGGGATTCCGTGATGCTAGCTGCATGTTACAAGGCTATGAAGAAGTTATCCGCGATAATTTGGTGTGATTTGGCAGGTGATGAACCAATCTTCATAAAAGGAGTTGTTGCCCAACATGGGCTCCGCAAAAGATAAGCGGAGTTCGCGAAAGATTCGCGAACTATTTTTTTATCCGTGAACAAAGGCTGTTTGCAGATACAGGAATTTAGATCAACCGCCACATACATACATACATACAGACAGACAGACATACATACATAAATACACATACATACATACATACATACATACATACATACATACATACATTACATACATACATACATACATACATACGTGCACAAAATTGCACAAATACATACTTACACATACATACATATAGATGCATATACATATACATATACATACAAATGCATACATATACATACATATACATAAATATACTTACAAATGCAAACGTATACATACATGTACATACATATACATACATATACATACATATTTACATACATATTTACATACATACATACATACATACATACATATATACATACATACACATACGCATACACATACATACACATATACATACATATACATACATATACTTACAAATGCAAACATATACATACATATACATACATATACATACATATACATCCATATATACATACATATACATACATATACATACATATACATACATTTACACATATACATATACATATACATATACATATACGTATACATATACATATACATATACATATACATATACATATACATACATACATTCATTTATTATTCATACATACATACATACATGCATGCATACATACATACATACATACTTACATACATACATACATATACATATACATATACATATACATACACATACACATACACATACACATACACATACATTTACACATATACACATATACACATATACACATATACACACATTTACACATACACATACATTTACACATATACATATACAAATACAAACATACATACATATGCATACATACACATATATATATATATTTATATTTTCCGGCCAGCCTGGCCAGGCTACCATCTGTCCTGCACCTGCGCCATGGGCAAGGTGGTAGATGCAGAGGGACGAGTGAAAGGCGAGGGAAACATGGGGAAAATGGAGAGATTCTTGGAAATATTACAGGAGAGAGACTCATATCTCTCTATATATATATATATATGTCGTATTTGGAAGATTTTTAGGATGTACTTAAATATTATGTATAGTTCAGGTTCCTGAAGACGACTGAAAAATGACCCATGATGCAAATTCACCCGGATTCAGAGGTGTCATCGAGTACCCTTTGGTAATTTAACAGTTTGCTATAGCAAAATGCCCAAAGAGTTTGATGGTTAAAAACGGTGATTTTGAATAGCAAATGTCAAATTAGCAAAGGGTAATTGTATCCCATTACTGTAAAAAAATGGGACATGTAGATCTCCATACTTTTCCATTATCATATCTATAACCATACAATTTCATATACTCCATATATTCCCTATCTGTTTTCAATTATTTTCAGGTAGCAGTGGCAGTTGCCCAGCCAGGCTTCATATCCCGTTTCAGACTACTAAACCTTGATTGGCTTTCCAATCCAAAAATTGCACTTGGCACCTCAGAATATACCGGGCCCGGAAACCATGAACAGTTCGCCAAATCATCTACTTTCATGGGTAGTCAACAGCCTGGCGAACTGTTCAGTTGCCAGATGTATCGTTTTCTTTTCAGATGGGACATGGAAGATATAGAATATTAGCCTCTTGCATGGCAAACTGTTAAATAAAGAAGATGTGGTGCCTCATCGATTAAAGAAAGAAAATGTGGTGCCTCATCGATTATAGGTTTATAAACCATAGCAACTTTAGAATATTACAGATACATCTACCATAAACCCTAGTTATTGGAGATATGTCCATACCTTGTAATTCCCGAATTATAGGTGAATTTCCCATTAAAACACCATGTCTAGAGGATTTTCAATTGCCGGCCATGTTTTTTTCAGAGGGTTCAAGTTCGCCCCGACAGGTGTGGAAAATCTGCGAGTGGCAGATGCATCCATTATGCCCTCAATGACCAGCGGCAACCTCAATGCGTGCCTTGGAAGAGCGCCGCTGCGCCGCTGCGTGATGGGCACTGGGATGCTCCTCAGGACATCCATGGCTGGAACATCCACTATTTGTAGATGATTTTCCCAGCTACAAGCCTCCATGTATATGCCATTTCCCATTGCCACGTTTGATTACTAAATTACCGGATGGTAAACTGGGAATATCTTGAGGCAAATTGCTGATTGAACCATTGAAAACGGTGATTTCATGGGATATTCATAGGGTACATAATGGGGTAAGTGAGATATATAAGAAACTATATCCATTTATCATTTGGTTTGTCCCAGAGGCGGAGTATTGTAAGAAATGCCACTGAAACAACGAGGAAAAGAGTGGACAACGATCCTGGTCAGACAGGTCCTGCCCAACATGTTGCTCCATCGAAAATGGCCATATGGAGATCAACCTAGTACCGGGTCTAGCAGCTATAGCACAGACCAACTGAGACGTCAAACTCTCACATGTTTATCATGTTTGCTGGTTAGATCCTTCGTCCTGTGAAGATACCGGAACTTGCCATCCTGGTTAGATCTTTGAATTTGAAGTCACGGCAGCTCAAGTCCTGCATTGGATTTGGCCCGCCATTTTTGGGTGGTTCAGCACCAAGATATCACCAAGTTCTATCAATTTTGCCGATGAATAGCCCACAGAATGTCCCAACTTTGCTGCTTAATCACCAGTAATTAGTCTTGTCACTTGGAAGATCCTGATATCAACATGCTCCGATCCCTAGGCCAACGATTATGATGGCGGAGCTGCTTGCAGATCGAATTCGGGGAGAAGCTCCGTTACCTCCTGAGGCGAAGGGCAGTTCACCGGTCATGGGGATGTTTCACCGGTCGGTGTGGTTGAACATGTTGAAAGTTGCGACACTTCATAGAGAGATAAACTATGACTGGCTCAAACATGAGCTGGGAATACCTATGAAAAATCCCAATCATGCCTTATATATGTATATATATATATCCATAACTAATATTCCATTGATATTCCGTTGATCACCGTAAATATTCCATGAAAACCTACTCGTCCTAAACATCCTACCTACTAATACATATTCATATCCCATGATTTTCGCCCTTTTGGATCCATTTTCCACGGGCAACCTGTCGTGGTTTTATGCTAGGAGGCGAGCTGGTACGAACCACCCAACTGGAAGACCTCTCAGCAGCTTGGAAGGCCGAGGTATCAGGGGGCCTTTGCCTCAAGAAAGAGGAATTTAACATCTGGTTTAACTAACAAACATTGGATTCAACATAAGTGGTTTAAGTGGTTTTCTATTTAAACAAGTTGATTTCATCAACACACTGTGGATTCAACACAAGGGGATTTAACCAACAAACTTTGGATTAACCATCATGGTTGAACTCTCAAAAAGTGTTCATTTTATGGAATATTAATTCCCATTAATGGACTATACAACCAACTACAACCAACTGCTCTTCAGTTTGACAGTTTGGGTCTGGAAATGGTATTATACCAATGACACAGCCATTTAATAAGAACAATGATGATGAACCAAGGGATTTAAGGGGGTTTTCCCAGATTTTCAGAGCCACTGAGGCGTTGAGGCGCCATTTTGCAGACGTGGATGAACTTGGCCGTTCGTGTACAGGGCTTAACAGTAACAGTAGCGCTGTTGTTACAGCTGTTCCAACAGAGGATCAACTGGATCCAACTCTAAAAATCCAACTCTTTTGCTGAAGGTCTAGGGATCTTCACAATTGGCAGATGACATCCTAAAGGGGATGGATCATCACGGCAGTGACCGAGAATGATATCAAAGGGAGCGAACAGTATGATGGCACGCACAATTGCTTGAGCTTCATGGATCTATCCGCCGGATGTTTTCTATGATGGGACCTTGTGGTATTTCTGTATCCGCCGTCCTTTGTATCCAGTTGTTCAGTTGATGAAATAAATAGATCAGACTCCATCAGCAGTTTCATCTTCGTGATTTCAAAATGCACCTCCAGATTTTTCAAGTGGACGCCCCAGCTTGGAAACCTTTCAGCTGGTGCAACTTCGAATTCAACACTGTTTTTAGCCTCCAAGGACACAGGAGCCGCGAATTCTTTGCCTTACAGGAGCCGCAAAATCATTTTCTCCAGTCGATTCCCCGAAAATCACAACGAATTTACAGAGTCGAAGCATGCCATGAACCGTCCAGTAGGACCGGAGTAGGCTACGGCCCAAGAATTCGAAACGCGGTGCTGGGAAGTTTGTGGGGAGACGACTGGTTACTGGACACATGTATTGTCCTTTCTGGGGGCATCTCAAGTAAATTACTATTTATATGACATATGCATATGATATATACATACATATGACACATATTGATACATAATTCTACCTATGCCTATACCTATACATAATATATATATATATACATACATATATGCATATACATATACATAGACATCTACGAGTACACATACATATACATATGCATATATAGATATACATATAGATATACATATTATAGATATACATATAGATATACATATGCATATATAGATATACATATAGATATACATATTATAGATATACATATAGATATACATATAGATATACATATATAGATATATATATAGATACATATATATATATGCACATGTATGTACAATATACATACATACAGAGAAACATATACACAACTACGTATACATAGACATATACATAGACATATACGTATACGGATACATATACGTATACGGATACATATACGTATACGGATACATATACGTATATATATATATATACATCCAAATGTGTATATGTATACACACACATGTATACATTCTCATGTATACCCACATACACACTATATCTAAATAGATGCATATATACATCATATGCCATATGCACACATATAATATAAATCTATATAACTAGTCATACACACACACACAGAGACATCAGACACACACACAGAGACATATGTATATACATATATGTATATAGACATACATAATTTGGCTAGTTGACTGGTCCTTAGTACTGGTAACCATCTCCGTTTTCCTTTTGTCAACGTGAGCTGAGGCTCCACAAAAAACGAAATGCCCCTGGGAACGACAGCACTGGATTTAGTGCAAGGCATCACCGAGTGCCCTGCCCCGGGGTTGGGTGCTGAGTTTTACATCCAAGAGGATTTCATGGGCTCTGGATTACCTATCGAAAACCTGGTGTATCGGTTGAATTCAGTTTGGGGGAACTTCAAGGATTCTGAATTGCCTGGGAAGCGGGATTTTACTTATCGTACCAGTGATCATGAACGGTTATCAGCACCAATTACATATAATTTTATATGGTAATATATATATATATATTCAGTATATCCATTCTGCTTGGTGGCTCATCCCAGTTGGTAAGTGGCTTAGTGCACGTTCTGGATATGGCGGCTTGCCATACTTGGAATGGGTCATAGATCCCGTTGATGGCTAATCTTACTGGTGCTAAACGTAGGGAATGGATGGGTTGCTGGGGGTTGCTGGGATGATTATTACTAGTGATTATGGATCATTCCCGAAAATTCCCTGCGTTTAGCACCAGTAAGTAATTTCCAAAAAATCACCCAATTTTTGATGATGACCCGACCCTTACTGGAGCCAACTTGGAACCCGCCCCAGGTACAGCAGTCGCATCGCGCTGAAGATGCTCTTCACGCAGTTCGGTGAGGCATTTTTTTCGGTTCGCGCATTCTGCTGCAGTCAACTGGAAATCTTAGAAACCCCAAAATGGCGCCCGATTTTTTTCATACCTCTGGCACAAAAGTCGTTAGGTGGGGATGATGTGTTACTGGTCATGGTTTGTGGGTGTTTTACCACATTATATAATTATATAATCATGTTGCCAGGAATGCCGCTCAATGTTTTGGTGCAGAAAAGTCAGGAGCAGAGCTTTATTTTCCCCCAAGGCTTAAAACCAGATTCTGAGAGGTGGTTGGTGGTCTACTCAAGATGTGCCATGGTCTGGGATTACATAGTCACATTGGGGGATGGTCATCAATCCATTTTCCTATGGTCCTAGGTATCTTTATATCCAGGGACGGAGATGGCTTTAAAAAAGACATGGCTCTGGCATGCTCTGGCATGCTCTGGCATGCTCTGGCATGCTCTGGCAATGGAAAACCAGGTTCTTTGAGGGTCATGGAGGGTCCCAAAAATCTTGGGCTTTCTCCTGAAAACCTCACGCAAGGACATGGCTTTGTCTCATATGGGAGATGTTTTTTTTTCAAGTTGCATGGCTGAAGATGAGGGTTGGGTCAGAGGAATTGACCCAAACACCACCTGGTTGGTGGTTTGGAACATGAATTTTATGACATTTTATGACTTTCCCATCAAAAAATGGCTTCATGTCATCATCCCAACTGAGTCCATCAGTCCATCATTTTTCACCACGGGGTAGGCGAAAAACCACCAACCATCACTGCAGTCACTCCAGCTGCTCCCTGCTCCGCTCATCGCCTCACAGGTCACGGCATGTTGGATACCTCCACTGGAGCATCGGAGCAACGAGCGAGCGTGACCCGAACCCCTTTTCGCGACGGAACAAACTGGAATCCGCTCGTTAGTAAGGGGTAACTATCCCAAAGAATTACCGGAATTTTCAGGTCAGTGAATTGTGAAAAAAATTAGCCAGATATTTGGCTGATGGCATTTTGCCGAAAAAGATCCGTAGCAGGAATTATGTTCTCCCTTGTGCGGTCGCCGCTTCCACAGATGCCTCATTTCCAGAACACTGGGGGGAAGATAGAGTCAACCGATGCTCCATGAGATTGCAGATTTTGTTCATTTTCATGGTAGTAAAGCATCCCAGCATTTTAGATTTTAGGTACCCAACTGTGACCCGCTCATACCCTTTCCCGACACGTTTTCAGCTAGTTTTGGCCAGGTATGTCAAATTTGGCACCACCAAAGCAGCGCAGGCCGTGACTATCTTGCTGGTAATCAGAGAATCAAAGCTCATTTTGTGGATATCCCAAGATATTCCCGAAAACATATGCTGGTTGGTGGTTTGGAACATGTTTTGTTTTCCCATATATTAGGAACAATAAGCCCATTTGACTAATATTTTTCAGAGGGGTTGAAACCACCAACCAGTATGTCTTTGGATTGAGAAACGGTGTACAAATGGACAGAAATGGATTTTTTGCCGTGTTTGATTGAATTTGATTGTATATTTACTGGAGACTACGCATGGCTGTTGGAACAACATGGAACAAGCCATGCAACATCAGCTTGCAGCAGAATCATTTGTCCCAAGTTCGGCAGCTTGGAAGTGGCTCCAAAAAATTGGGGGCAGCAGTTTTCATCCACCATTTCATACTCCATTTTTATCGGTTTCAGGTAGAAAATATATGGTTCTTTTAGCCTCTAACAGAAGACTTTTGAAGTTCAGATTGAAAGCCCATCAAAACACTAACTTTTCATGAAAAACACATCAAGAACATGGGTGTCCTAGAGTCCTAGAGATTTTCTATAAATCTATTATGATTTGCAACGAGCTCACGTCGCGACGTCACGAAAAAATGATGGGAATTGGATTGGGGTGTCAACATCTCCAAATGGCCGATCAAAAAACTGGTTAGTGAAGTATTGTTTTTTGTTCAGCAATATATATTTCATCAATACTATCAATACCCTATAGTATCCATGAACATTTCATAATTTCATAATTTCCAATATCAACAAGTTGGATATTCATGGATCTAAACATGATTAAAAATGGATGCGGATGCCATTTCCTACAGAAATCCATATCAATCCCAGATCTCGAGAGGCGGCGTTTGAGGCTTCTCAAGCCGGGCAACTGTTCTTGGCACCTCGGCAGATACCCGGCCTGGTAAACGTTAACAAAAAACTATGGAAAAACATCAGTTTCAATGGGAAAATCCACTATTTCTATGGTGATTTTCAATAGCAAACTGTTAGTCATTACCAGAGGGTACTTCGTGTGGATGATCAAGACACTGTCATACTTGTCTTTACATATTATATTAATTATATAATACTCGTTGGTGGTTTGGAACATTTGGATGATTTTTCCCATCATATTGGGTTCATGTCATCATCCCGACTGACTTTCAGTCCATCATTTTTCAGAGGGGTAGAAACCACAACCACCAACCAGTATATATATATATATTATATATATATATATATATTAAGTGGATGATAATCCCATTCCATTCCGTTAAATCCCATTAAAATCCCATTAAAATAGCCATTTCCCATTCGTTGCTCAGGACGGTGTGGCCCTGAGAGCTGAGTGGCGCATGGCACCGGCGAGGTCGGCTGTGTCGACGCACCATGGATTTCATGGGATGTTTGATTGGATCTTAATGGTGATTCAATGGTGATTGTTGGGAAAATGCCAGGGACAAAAAAATAGATGGTAGAAAGCTCAGTAAAACTGATTTTCCCGGCAACACCAATTCTGCGAGGTTTTCTGTCCAAGTTTTTCATCAGATCAGAAATGATGATAGATCACGATTCAAGCTGGTAAATTATTGTCGAAAACATAGATAGATAGATTGATGATGATGATGATGATGATGATGATGATGTATGAAAACCCCACCAATTTTCAATGTAACTATTTGCACTACTCCATAATCACATCATATCCCTATGATTGTGGTGAGATAGCTTCCGAAAGACCTTGTTGATTTCCTATTTTTCCCGATTTCCTATTTTTCCCGGTGAACAGTTGTCAAACCAATCCACCCTGTAGCAATGACAGCCATCACTGTCACTATTTTAGTACTGGAACCTCAATAAACTTCATTTATCACCATGGGTTCCTTGTTTATAACTTACGTATCGACAAAGGTGATACGTACCTATTTTCCACACACATTTGTATAACTTATTCCCATTTTCCTTTGGGTTTGCAAAAAGATGGTGTAGCCAAGGAAAAATCCAATGGCCTGTCATCTTTTTTTCCCCAAAAAACAACTTGCCATTTCGTCGCATCCCCAGTCTCTGTGACACGCCACTATCACATTATTATTGGCTATATCTATATCTATCTATCTGTTTGTCCGTCTGTCCGTCCATCCATCCATCTATCTGCATCTGTATCTATCAATCCATTCATCAATCGATCCAACTATGTATCTAGCTTCTAGCTATCTATCTATTTAGCTATGTATTTAGCAATAATACCTAGCTATGTATCAGCTAGCTATCTAGCTATCTATCTATGTGCATCCCATCATCCCACTATGTCACACATCGAATCTCCCCAACGTTGTGACTTCGCAGGACGCAGGATAGTCGTGACTTTGAAGCTCGAGGGAGTAACCTGATGACGCCTGGGGCCCCGGCATTTTTCGGCATTTCCATGGATCCCATGGACCCATAGCTGGATGGTAATGGACAATCCCAATCGAAACTGCCATGGATTTTAGATATTTTAGGGGTAGCCCTATTTTAGGAACCACCATTTTTGGGTGTCGAATCGAAAAAAAAGCGAATCGAACAACCGCGAATTACCATAAAATGATCAAAGGGCGAATCGTCACCATCATTGGGGGTCACCTCAAGGGTGGAATCCCCATGAACTGGAAGATATGTGTTTTTTTTGGCCAAGGATCGCCTATAAATACAATGAAATACATTAGGGGGCAATTTATGGATGAACATTGATGGATTTACTCATCAATTTATAATATACAGTAGGTAATCCTATAGATAAAAGATATATGATTTATATAATCATATATAAATATAACTTTTTTTTGGGGATGAACATTGATGAAAATCCATAAATCCCAGCTATTTTGATGTGAACAGAAGGGGTACCAAGTTTTGACCCATCCCCATATGAGGATGCATTATTTCATAGGATAATATGTTCAAAACCCCTGTTATTCCCTGTTGGTTGATTTGCATATCGGATTATACTGCCTCGTAAAGAGGGCCTCGTATATGTATATTATATATATATATGTATACATGATTAATGATTATCATAATTCATTGTGGGACTTCCTACTAACCAACCAGTACAATGGAATGATACAGTTTTTGAACACAACTCAATGCAAAATCGAATTTGTTCCACGCATGTTCACTGAGCAAAAATATGGGGCGTACCCTATGAATCCTGGCGATGTTTGCTGCAGGATTCTTTCAAGGATCACGAAGTTGTCGAACATCCAATAGTATGAATGTTTGATAGTTCAATGGTCTGGTTGATGGTTCAAGATTTTTTGGACATTTCTGATCCATTTTGGCTTCAGACAGTCTACCTTAGCTTGGTCGACCTGGGACATTTCTGGCGCTTCAGTCGCCTTGAGCCAAGGTCTCGAGACTTGATGCGGGCTCAGATGAGGGATGGAGGAGTCAGCTTCTCAGTTCTGGCGGACGGAGGTTTTCGAAGTCATAGGGGGTACTCCAGTCATCATCCAGTCGAGGACCATGACTTAGAGACTTGAAAGAACCATGGTGACGAGTGGGGATCCCCCATGACTTAAGAGCCCCCATAGTGCCAAAATGACCAGCAATGGGGATGAGCAGCAAAAAAAACATGTGGATTGAACGCAGATTACGCAGATTCCTTAAATTTGGATGTGATTTACAAGTCGGCAAGTCTTCAAAGGCCGATTGGCTGGATTGGTCGGGGACGATCCATTGATTCGGGATGGATCTGGATCTTTTTCATCCTGGGATGGATGAGCATCTATAAATTATCATAAATTCCTATGGGAAATCCCAACTTCACCATGGAGAAGAATGGTGATGTAGGGCACCGGAAAGCATTCCGAGGGAGACGACAGGAAGGGCGGTGGAAAGGGCCGACGCGATTTGGACGGCGGCGGGTCTCGCGCGCTGATGATGGATCGTGTTACTGGGACGCGATTCAGTGGACTGGAGGTTACCTGAGGATGCAGTTCCAGTTGAGGTGGCTATATAAGTATAAGATACTACCAGTTATGGGGGATTTTCTGATATCCCAGCATGGGGGTTAGATTTTTCATGGTTATACCATGTTATACCCATCCACTGCAACTGCACCGCGAAGTATGGTTGTCAAAATGGTTATTTTTCAGCCTGGAATCCAAAAAAAAAATGGGGAAAATAAGGGATTTGCCTCCAATCTAGATGGATACCTATCAACAGATGTGGATATAAGGGGATATCATGGGGTATATAACGAGTATGACCAGACATGAGGAACTTGCCCTCAGTTTATTTATGCCCATGATATGAGACAAATCTGATTTGCTCAACCGTGGGGTGGAAGGGAATCCACCATTTCTGGGCAAAGCCAATGGCATCCTGGAACTTTCAGATGGGTGTGGGATTGAGACATTTTAAGAACTGGTCGCCAAACCTGGCGATTGAAAATCCACTACAAATGGTGTTTTAGTGGGAACAAAGTCAATGAAGGATATTCCTGCAAAGCATGTTTGATTACCGGAGGGTAGGTTGTGTGTTGGGGTATCCTTGCTCTCACAATGCCAGTGGATAGTGAAGCTTACACGTGGGGGCCAACACTTATTTTTGTTGATCTCGGTGCTGACTCGATCTCAATGGTCTGGGCAATGAGTGGGCAAGGATAGGATGACTGTTATCGCCCCCATCCAATATACTGACATCCAAAATCCAAACATTTCTTGTTGGCAAAGGGCGCGAGTTCATGCGAAGGTTGGACGCTCCCGGAGAAACGATGACCGAGAGCGTGACAGGCGCGGATCCCTTGATATCCCTTGCATGACAATGAACAGCTAATATGGATCCATGTTTGGTGACATCCTATATCTTTAGGAAATACTTAAAGTCATTAAATGATTTAGAACGAATAGAACATACATGGTGATCGATCTAAAGGTCCTTGTAAGGAGTTTTAATTGCGAAAGCCGTGCATGTTATGTTGGAAACCCTCGCGAAAGTTTTTTTTCGAGTTCGCGAAAGTAAAATTTTATTTCGCGAAAGTTTCGCGAAAGTTGGGTATTATTATCATTATATGTAAAGGGCTGCCACCCGCTGCCGCCCGGGGTCCAGCAGGAGAAGGGCACCAGAGAATGCGAGTAGCAGTAGCCAAGTTTCCAAAAGTGAGGCTTTGCGAGAGCCAAACACCAAGGCCCCTGGTCTTCGCTTTTCCTTCAGTGCACCCCCTGCTGATGGCCGGGGTCTGTGAATAGGGATATTTTCGCGAAAGTTCCGCGAAAGTTCTGCGAAAGAGCGGGCGAAAGTCAAAGTGCATGTTGAAGGGGGTGGGCCAGTAAACTTTGCAAAAAAAAATCTGTCCTGAGAAGGGATTCCGTGATGCTAGCTGCATGTTTAAAAGGCTACCAAGAAGTGATCCGTGATTCTCTGGCGTAATTTGGCAGGTGGTGAACGAATCTTCATAAGAGGCGTTGTTGGCCAACATGGGCCCCGCGAAAGATAAACATGGAGTTCGCGAAAGTTTCGCGAAAGTAAAATTTTTATTCGCGAAGAATGGCCGTTCCGGGATAAAGGAATTTTGATCAACAACCACATATATTTATATATATAATATCCTAAGTTTTGGGGTGACATGGCTAGCACCTTTCGCCCACCAGTTCATACTCATACTCTCCATCTCAGCACCACAGATAGCATACACACATACTAGCACACAAACTAGCACAGCAAACATACAAATCAACACAGCAAAACCTAGCGAAAGCACATATACACAGCAAAGCACAGCACAAAAATCCAGCACAGCAGAGCACAGCGTACCATCACCCAAACGCCAGCAGACAAATCATCGCAAGAAAACATACAGAAGATGCACGCATACAACAAGCACCCCACCCAAAAGCACAGCAGCCTGGAAACATGGCAACAGACAGTAATTAATTTTCGCTATATTGTATTGCGATAAATATAGGTTAAAATTATTCATCACAGCCTCACAGCATAGATGACTTTCCGCTGATTCATACTGATGCTAAGATTCATTTGTAAAGACTTCGAGTTTTCTCCAGTTTCTTTTATGAATGATCTGGTTCATCTTCTTTCTGTTTATTAGTTCATTCAATGTTTTATTACTTTATTCCATGTTTTTTTTTCTCTGTCTAGCTATACTTGACAGAACTGACTGACAACCACATTCACATAGGATAAGCTCAAACTGTTTTGCTTTTAATGCATCTCTGTCCTTTTTTCTCTCTGTATTTTTTGCTTGTTTCTTGTTAATCCTCTCTGTGAGTTTGACAAATATGTCTTTGCTTGTTTCTTTGACTTGTCCTGAACCATTTTGACAATAGATTTTACATGTTTGATTATAAGTGCTTCTTTGTTCTTTTGGTAGTTTTTTCCTTTTATCCCAGGCTGATTCATTCCCTCCTATGATTTTATTTACACAGGTAATCTTCTATCAATGTTATTTTGCAGTTTTCCTCACCCACAGTTTCAAAAATACTAGCTGGTGTGCAAAGACCCTGCAAGGATATGTTTTATAGGTGTCTTTATGATGACCAAATCTTTTTGAAAGACTTGTGGTTTGAATTCTGCAAAATGGGCATAACCTTTCGTTTGCAGACCGATTCATATGACCCTTGTCACGGTAATTTATCAGGCGATCACCGACTAAATTCATGCAACTTCAGCTTGCGCAGCTCACATTGTTCACGTCCGTTTTTCTTTGTGCTCAAAACAACGGTTTCAGAATATAGGGGACGGAAACAATCTGAAACAACCATGCCTTGCCTCGCCATGGGCTTAGTGAAGCGCTGATACGATGGCCGTGGAAGCACAGCTCAATGGACATCAGAGCAGAAAGCGTTTTCAATTGCCAGTTCGTTTCAGATTTTCCACTGATCTTTTGCCTGATTTGAGCTTGTCGGTAACCATGTTGAACCCCAAGACGACGGACAAAGTCCAGTGATTTGCTCCGCGGCACTTTTCATGAGATCCAGAGTCTCCTTGAACGAAGTTGGCACAAATTTGCCGCTGCCAATGTTGTTTGGGACAAAGACTGGCAAAGAGGTCAGCCGTTCAGGGCTTGGACTACTAGGCTGACAGAGCTGACACAGGCCTTGACTGGGAGCAAAAAGATGCGAAGTACAGTACTTCGAAGGAGGGGTCGTTTAGGGTTGGAAGCGGCTTGATGTCATTGTTAATTATCTATGCTTCTGTCATAATATGTATGAAAGTTTGTATGCTGGGGGGGTACGAGGACGAATTGGGGGCTGAGGCTAGCTAGGCTAGCTCAAACATGGTTCCAGTAATCCGTTGCAGTGTACTCATATATTTATATAAGGCATGGACCGAAACCTACTAACAGTTACTAACATCCAATTTGACGTCAGATGAAATTGTGCCAGTGGTCCACTTTTCAATGGCTCCAAGCCGTAACGCTGTGAAACTCCGCGGCACCAGGGAGAAAGACAAGAAGGCCAAGGCCTGTGGCTTGGAAGTGGCCTGACTATTTTTCGCACTCAGAAAGATTAAAAGTAACATTCAGATACATTCAGTTTTAAAATGTTCTAACGTAGATTCCTAGATAATAGTAAAGTTATGTAGAAGAGTACTCAGCAAATTACTTGACTTTGGCTCAACTTAGTAGACAAGCGGTTTAGGGGTTACTATGGATGATTACTTGGAGCGCATTCGTTGAAGCCCTGGCTCAGATGGATATGGACCAAAGGAAAATAGGACACTCCCAAACTCTCAGATGGATGGTGATATCAGTAGTGTTGTAAGATGTTATACCCTACAGATCCCTATGGTTATTTAACACAGCTATGGAATATGGATGAACATGGCCCATTTATGCATGACGACGATGAGTCGATGAGTTCAACAGCTTGACCGGTCTGTAGAACAGGAGCGAGAGAGAAGTCGCGACAGAGATCGGCCGCTTGTTCAACGAAAGTTTCGCGTCGGTGGGATTTCGGCACCCTGCCGAAAGTATCATAGACAAAAACTGATATATATTCTATCATAGTGTCATAGACAAAAACTGATATATGTATATATATACACACTATATATATATATACACACTATATATATATAATCATATATATATATATATATTCAAAACAGAAACGATCTAAAACGTCTGCCATGCGAACATGTCTGAAATCAGGGGAATCACACCTGGATGAACCCCCACGATGGTCTGGACTAGAGGTTTGTTGATGACGGCACGCTCAATCCGCAAAGTCATGGACTTTGATACCCAAAGAAATATCTTAATTCTGGTAAAATAATACAAAAAAATGATAATTTGAAAATTCTTCATTTTGGGACAGCCAAATGATGTAACTCATAGATCAGTTCTGAGATGTTTCTTCTCCGCCATACGCATCGCATCTGATTTCCCAAGTTCTGCCAAGCGAGGAAACGAAAAAGCCGGAGCCGTAGCCGCGACAAGAAAAAGCGGCGGGAGCGATCTCGCAGCAAGAAGCGCTCAGAGGAACGGCCAGCTTTGCAGGACACGGCCCTGACGGCCATTTTTTGGAACTTGGATCTTGGGTACAAAATGATGGGAGTCTACCAGGTATAGATGTATAGATGGGGTTTCATCTATCTCTATATATACGACCTACACACTTTTATTGTATATAGTATATATATAATTCCCTCCGGGGCGGACGTTCGCCCAAAGTTTCATTGGGGGTTTAGTTACGTTTTGATTTGTTCAGGATATATTTCAGATTGTTTTAGGGTTTGCTTAGCGCTGGTTTAGATTTTCTTTCGGGTTTGTTTAGGGTTTATTTAAGGTTAGGTTATTTTTAAGGTTAGGTTATTTTGGTGTTCTTTCAACGTCTTGCGGTTTGTTGAGGTCTCAGTTAGCGGCTCGCAACACTGCAAATTACGGAGGATATCTTTGAGATAGGTGATTTTGGCACCGTCTTAGGTAAGCGCAAAAATGCCATGAGACGCAGGACATATCAATATTTTACATGCTCGCAATGTGCAAAAAACACGCACGGAAACAACACAGCAGATTGCAGTCCCGCATGGAATTCCGTGGATTTCGGGCAAACGTCAGCCCCCTAGCGGCCCTAGCCATATAATTATATATATACACGCTATAATATACACATAAATTATGATGACTGCCTTCCGGGCAGTTGACTTCCGGGATTTGGACGGCAGGATGGGGCAGTTGCCATCGAAGACGATGAGACGACCACAGCTGTCATCTAACTGTGCCCTGGGCGCACTATGTGGCCGTAACTGGCTCGTTGAATCACTAGAAATAATTATAGAGATTTAATGTAATGGGATATTAACCATTAAGAATAGGGATACATATTAAGGATTCATAAAAAATAGGGATTACACTGGGAATATAATGGGAATATTGTTGATATGTGGAAATATAATGGGAATATTAATCATTAAGAATATGGATTGAACCATTAAGAATAGGAACTTACTGTTACATTATACTGGGTATATAATGGTATTATTGGGAGATATGGGAATATAATGGGGTTACCTTACTCAGTGTTGATTGATATAGGAGGTTATGCTACCTGAGTTTTTTTTGGGATTCTTACGCCACAGAATCGGGATAAACCAACCAGTATGAATGGGATGACCATCATCGTTCGACGAGACGACGAAGACTTTGGGAAACACCGATGACCAACTTGATACCCTCTGGTGAACTAACATAGCAATGGAAAATCACCATCTTTAATGGGAAAATCCACTATAAATAGCCATTTTCAATAGCTATGTTAGTTTACCAGGGGGTAGTTCATGATGGTTCATGATAGTTCTACGGATCCAGGATGTAAAAATTGCCTCTTCGGGTGTGATCCGCGAATCTCCGCAGCATCATTTTGACTTTGACCACGGTGCCAGATGGGTAGTTTCTGAAAAGTGGGAACCACAATCTTTGAAACTGCTGTTTTTTCTGTTGGAAGCTGTGGGTCAACGGGCCAAGATGGCTGATTTGTTGCCACCCGGACAGTGACAGGTCTGGCGTGCTTCTGACGTTTGCGGAGGTAAAAAAGACTTGGCTATGGCCTGACCCCGATGCCAGTGTGGTGGAACTTCCAATGCCCAAGTTGGACATTGTTTTTTTGATATTTGTTTTTTTCTTGATGGCTATCCAGTCACTTCTCCAGGCCTAACTGTCGGTTTCTTGATGTTTTTTCATGTTTCTGGATCATTTTCACTTGAACTTATAGAAGAATCTGATTATCCAGTGGTGAACGAAGGCTGGCAATTGGAGCGGTTGGGGTATCCATATTCCGAAAAGTTCCCTATTTTTCACGGGGAGCCAGTTGGAGCCACGGATTGTTGCAATCTCAAGGCTCAAGGTGGTCACGATCGAAGAATTCGATCACGTGGCCGACCTGCAAGATTTTACTGTACAAACTTCAGCCATGCAAGGTTTATTCTTATATGGTTAGTCTAGTTTAGTATTAACCATCCAATTATTGGGGTACCTAATTTTGACCCATACCCATATATATATATATTTAAGGTTTATTCATATATTATATATATATATTGGATGATATTGGATCCAATGGGTTCCACTGCCTTGGACTGCCAGGGACTGGTTTTTTGTTTTCGCTCACCTCCGCTTGCCCTTAAGTTGTTGAGTCCCTATTTTTGGTTCGAAGTGTTCACAGCGAAACGGGAAGCCGGGAAGCCCCCCATGCACAACAAAGCAGGTCACGTTAGGGTTTTCCAGCATCGCTCAAGCGCGAGATCTGCTGACGTTGACATGACGGTGATTCCCTACAGGCGCATTTCGGGATTTGGATCGCGATCGAAATCCTCAGCCCTGGTGACCGATGGGACTCCCCTACAGATCCCCAGTAGATTCGAGAGTCCAGTGGAGTTTGGAAGGGCTGGAAGCGACCTTTCAAAGTAAGTTCAGTGACAGTACTTGGAAGTGCAGTTCCAGTTATAATGTGGATATGTAACCATAGTTAAAGGGGCCCCAGATCCCAACAAACATGAGGGTGTTCAATTCCCATGATATCAATTAGTACCATGATGTACCCTCAACATCAGCCAGTATGGCGTATATTTTTCTGGCCCCACCGATCCTTGGCGGCTGTAATCAGGTGCTCGGCCTCCACGGCTTACAGTAACTAGATGTAACTAGCAATGCATTAATCGTTGCTATTTGGGCAACAATTTCAATGAACCATTTCATTCATTTTCAGTAGGGTCTCAAACATTCTCGGAGCCCCGAAGTTTTTTGAGTTGTGAATCATCTAAAGTCAACCTGAAAGAAGCAATCTTTCTGGGTGCGTCTGGGTGCATCGCCATTTCGTTTCTCTATCCCCGGTTTCACCCCGGTGCCAGGGAAGACTATCAGCAGCTTCCTTGTCTTTTTTGAGCCTTCATGAGTTTCAGGCCACCGGAATCTTCCGCGGATTCACAAGATCAACAAGCCACCACGTATATCCAAGACAGTCTCCACGTAGATATTGCATGATATTGCATGATAACTTTGGTAGCTGTGAAATGAAATGTTGTATTGTTTTATATGAACCTAAACATAGACATGAATGGTCTTATGAATGTGACAATATGACACCAAATTTCATTTTTCTTGCTTCTACCTCGATTCTGCAGATCTTTTTGACGGGTTTATAGTGGCGTTGAACAGGTGAGAATTGGAGGCACTAGGATGTCGTGGCACCAATATTCCTGGAAGCAAATCCTGGCCTGCCACCAGATGTTCCTATGTGAGGGTATCTTTGTTAAAGCGATATTATATCTTTGCAGCCGAATCCCAGGCCACGGTTAGGTGAGAATGGTCAACTCTTAAAAGTGACCAGCTTTCTTGGTTCGGTGTCTATGCAAATTGGTTTGCAAGACACGTCATACACGCAAACAGGGGCTGGATCAGGCTCGATCATGCAACAATTCGGAAGCACGAAACATCAAAATTGTCATGGGCACATGGGTATGGCTCCTGGTTGATGGTTTGGAACATGGCTTTTATTTTCCCATATATTGGGTTCATGTCATCATCCGAACTGACTTTCAGTCCATCATTTTTCAGAGGGGTAGGCGAAAAACCACCAGGCTCAAAGTTGCGTAGCTCTAGCCGCTCTAGCCCTCTTTTCATCTGGAGTTATGGAGGTGTCCTGGAGCTACCCCAAAATCATCCTTACCCTCTGGTTATTTAACATAGCCATGGGAAATGGCCCATTTATAGATGGTTTACCTATTAGAAATGGTGATTTTCCATGGCGAACTGTTAGTCATAACCAGATGGTAAGTCAATTTTAGTACACCCATGGTGACTCGGGGGATCCTGCGCCAGGAACGATTCCTTAGCGGGTTTCCTCTCCAGGGACATCATTGACCGGGAGATCCGGCAGATCTGCGAACGGCACCCGGAGATCTTGGAGGATAACACCATCATCCGCAAGTCGCAGGGACGCTATCGGATCAATGGCCGGGAAGTGTCCATCAGTTTGGTGACCAGAGAGACCAAGGAGGAGGAGACGAACTTCGGAGATGTGTTCGGAGACCGAAATGGAAACACCTGTTGACTGAAGATACTGTATATTAGAATTACGTATGAATAATGTGGGTAAAACAATAATAAACCACCCATTTGCGAATGGTTTATACCACCTATTTATGGTGATTTTGGGGATGGTTTATTGTTGTTTTAACCGTATTATTAGAAACATGAAGAATATATAGATAGGCGGTTTGAATAGTTAGCGGCAATTTTTGTGGTCAACACATGTCACAACTCCACTAATGAAGTTCTGAGAACTTCATTAGTGGAGTTGTGACATGTGTTGACCACAAAACCGGTCGACAATTGCTTGCAGCCGTGGTTTCATGGCGGCTTGGTTTAATGTCAGGTGATGCAGTTATGGACTGGTTGAACATGATTGAACCAGTTTTTTTCCTTAAACGCAGGGACTCAATTCTACTTTCGACAAAAACACTGATTAAAGCATCCCCGGTTAAATTGCAAATATCTCCAGATATATTTCTTGTGAAAAACACCTCATCAACGCACCTTTGAAAAATTCACATGGGAGGAGAACTGGGACAGCGCTCTGCCGTCCAAATGTCCCTCCTCCAATATGATCGAAATCATCGAGGAGGTCAATGCCTTGGAACCCGCCATGGGCCCAATGGCAGCAGATCCCAACGATCTCATCGTGAGGGATGGACCACTGACCCAGCCCTTTATGGACTATGTCTTCGACACAGGTGGGGGCGTTGGACATGAGGACCAAAAAAGGGGGTAACATGAAAATCTATAAGATGCTAGGGGATGATGTTCAAAGCAATTCAAAAGATGTTTTAACAGATGTTTAAAGATGATATTCAAAGTTGGAAGCCAGTTCAGTCGTCACTTCCAAGTTGGAATCAAGTTGCACACCGAATCAACAGCGGTGGCTCCGGTGGCTCCATACCTGCCATGGAGCCAGGTCAGAACGAGACCTATGCGATCGAGGCATGTCACAGTGATGGTGATGTGACTTCCGTGCCACTGGCATCAGATGCTTAGCGGCGCGGGTAATGTCGAAATTTTGGACTGGATGGTTCACTGAACATGTCATGTACATGCAACACTGTCATGCATGCATTGTGAAGACACGTCCCTAAAAATAGATAACAAACAGACACAAATTTTCTTCGTGTCGTAACATGCACAAACTTTTTTCTCATAAGAAACGCTCAGCTTATGCTCTGTAGTGAAACCGTGTCCGAAGACAAAAATCAGATGCTACTCGTACTGCTGACCGCTTTTGCGGTTCGTGCTTTGGAAATAAAAGAATCAATTCATGCCACAGTTTGACAGCCTTAGAGCCCCATGGTAAAAGTATAACCAAAGAGCCAGAGCTCGTTTTCACGTCGCTGTCGGCCTCGTTGATTGAAATAGATACTTTTGTCTGGAGTTTGTGGCATGGTGGGGGTGTGGTACTGCGTATATATATATATATATGTATATATAAATATTTCTATGTAAACATGTATGTGTATATATATATACATGTCTATGTATATATATATATTCATGCTTATATATGTATATATATATGTATATATCTATGTATATATATATATGTAAATATATATGCGTATATATGTATATATATATGTATATATATATATGTTTATATATATATATATGTAAATATGTTCGTATGTATGTATATATATACATACATATGTATGTGTACATATATATATATATATATGTGAATATGTATATATATATGTGAATATATGTATATAAGTGCGTATATATATATATATATATATATATCTGTATATTTAAATACGAATATGTGTATATGTATATATATATGTACGTATCTATAACATGTATATATATATATATGTATCTATAACACACGCATACATACATACATACATACATACATACATACATACATATATATAGGAAGTAGATACATAGCACATGTATATATGACTATAGGTAGCACGTAGGTACCTAGAGGGAGTATGTGTGCTAGTTGGTAGCATGTACCTAGTAAATGCGAGGCTGGTAGTCAGAATCGCTGCAAAAACCTAGCAAATACGAGGCTGGACATCAGAAATGCTGCCAACAGCTTGCAAAGGTGGGGTGCCACCTCGGGACCCATCCCATTGGGGGGGGACCTCGCGGTCGGAAGGCGATATAATTACATAAATATCCCTTATCCCATCCCCATCTGGTTGAATTATCCAGATCCATCAGCCATCCACTGCTGCCCTGAGGACATGAAGGGTGGGAAGCTGAAAGTGGAGCCTGGAGATCGATTGGAGGCTGTTGGGAAACTTCCCCTGGGGTAAACATCAAAAACATAGAACAAGATGTGTAAAAGCAATGGTTTTTTTTTGCAGGAAAATGGCTAAACTCCACATCCTTGGTTAAATCCAAAATCTTTAGTGGTGTGAAATCCAAATGTTTGTTGCTTCACTCCAATTTCGGATATGATGTTTTGCCTTAAGACGGCACCCCAAATCATCGAAAAGTTAGACGATTTGTGTATTGAACCCCATGGGTTCATGGTTAACCCCCGATTCTGAAACAAAAGTGCCCTTCATTTGGGGGTTTTCCATGAACCCATGAGGTAAAATTTTGCTGCTTAAGTATAATTTTCGTGCTTCTGGTTGGCTAAATCCAACTCTCTCGTTGGTTCAATCCCAATTTTTTTTAGTTCGATGACCTGAAATCCCAATCTGTTCTTCAAAGCTCCATATACATATACATATATATATATATCTTACTATGATCATTATATTACCAGATACTATGTCACTATACTATCATATGGATGATATATACATCTATAGTTATAAAACTATATATATATATGGGGATTTCCATTTCCAATCATGGGGGATCCCAATAGCTAGACTTATCACTATATCCCTATACTACTATAGTATGGCTTATATAGTTTCAAATAGTAGCATATTTTTCCTTAGGAAACCTCGCATTTCTATAGTAGTATATTATCATAGATATAATTTAATAGTATATTCTATCTGCCACTAAATAGTTATAAAATAGTAGTAATTATATTTTATAGGTTTCCAATAAAAAAAATAAGCTATAAAATCATTATAGGAATTATTGATTGTTTACGCTATTATACCATCATGGGGGATTTCCCAAAAGCTGGATGGTTACTGGAAAATCATTAAAAACTGGAGATATATCTGGATGGTACCCCTATTTTGGGAAACCCCCAAACAATAATCATTGACCAGATTTATCCCCAAAACTCTGCCATCTTTCCCGGAAACCTGGCCCTTTTGCGGTGTCTCCGTAGGCCATGAGCCTCGCCTGGAACGCGCTGGAAACGGCCGACGCACCGAACGCCGACGAAACGAAGGCCTTCGAGGCCTTCGGGGCCGACGCCGAGGCCGAAGGCTTCGGCGAGCTGCCGGAGATGCCGCTGCCGGCGCCGTTGCCGGGGGATGCCCAGATGGGAGCGGCAGAAATGGTGGGTATAATAATATTAAGTATATATATATAGGTATAGTATAGATATAGTATAAGTATATAGTATATATTTATATAGAGGTATTTAGTATATATAGCTATATATATAGATAGCTATATATGGTTATATATATATGGTTATATATATATATATGGGTATGAAAGTGTACCCAGATGATAAGATATTAAAGAACTATATAATCCATATCACCATCCAGCTATTGGGGACCCCCCATGATTTGAAATCCCCATATATATTTAAGATTATAGAACTATAGATGGTATAATTGATAATGTAAATAACCCAGATGATTTAAGATTATATAACTATAGATGGTATAATAGTGTAAATAATTCAAATAATATAATATTTTATCACTATAATATGTATATATATATCATTCATATAATAGTAGTACAGGGATATAGTGATAAATATGTTAATATACTGATCGTATATTGGGACATATATATATATATTAGAATATATGTATGATATAGTAACCCATATGACAATATTAAAGTTAATCGCATTGTTCTGGGCTTATAGCTTGGTTAACTATGATATGGGAAGATATGTGATCCACCTGGGATATATAGGTAATCATGATTAAAATGATGATATACTGGGATGGAATATTATATATATGGACCATCCTCATGAAATATCTCTATATATATATCTATATCTTTAAATCTATACATACACAAATAACCCGTATAGTATACAGTAATTACTTTACAGTCATCGACAGAATTATGGAAATGAAAAAAAGGTTCGGCGCCGCAGTTAGCGAAAAAGGTTGGGGACCGAAACCAAGACAAAAAATTAGCTAGATTACGGACTTTCAAAAAAAATAATTTTGGAAATAGCAATTTTCAGATCCTGATCCTCTAAAAAAGAAAAAACAAGTGAGACAAATGTCTACAAAAGCCTGTAATCCACGATGCAAAATTAATTTTGGAAATCTTACTTATCGGATCCTGGTCCTCCAAACTACCTGCTTTACAGCGTATTTGCATGTATTTGCATGATTTTGGGACTAAATCCAGATTCAGTTTTGGGACCCTTATCCTCCAAACCACCTGGCTTACAGCAAATTTGCATGATTTTGGGACTAAATCCAGATTCAATTTTGGGATCCTGATCCTCCAAACATCTCTAAACCACCTTGTTTACAGTTTATTTGCATGATCTTGGGACTAAATCTAGATTCAGCTTTCGGACCCTGATCCTCCAAACCAGTTGCTTCGCAGCGTATTTGCATGATCTTGGGACTACAGTAAATCTAGATTCAGCTTTCGGATCTTGATCCTTCAAAAAAAAGGATGAAACAAATGTATACAAATGTCTACAAAAGCCTCTCATCCACGATGCAAAATTAATTTTGGAAATCTTACTTATCGGATCCTGATCCTCCAAACTACCTAGTTTTGAATGTTTTTGCATGATTTTGGGACAAAATCCAGATTCAGTTTTGGGACCCTTATCCTCCAAACCACCTGGCTTACAGCAAATTTGCATGATTTTGGGACTAAATCCAGATTCAATTTTGGGATCCTGATCCTCCAAACATCTCTAAACCACCTTGTTTACAGTTTATTTGCATGATCTTGGGACTAAATCTAGATTCAGCTTTCGGACCCTGATCCTCCAAACCAGTTGCTTTGCAGCGTATTTGCATGATCTTGGGACTACAGTAAATCTAGATTCAGTTTTCGGATCTTGATCCTTCAAAAAAAAGGATGAAACAAATGTATACAAATGTCTACAAAAGCCTCTAATCCACGATGCAAAATTAATTTTGGAAATCTTACTTATCGGATCCTGATCCTCCAAACTACCTAGTTTTGAATGTTTTTGCATGATTTTGGGACAAAATCCAGATTCAGTTTTGGGACCCTTATCCTCCAAACCACCTGGCTTACAGCAAATTTGCATGATTTTGGGACTAAATCCAGATTCAATTTTGGGATCCTGATCCTCCAAACATCTCTAAACCACCTTGTTTACAGTTTATTTGCATGATCTTGGGACTAAATCTAGATTCAGCTTTCGGACCCTGATCCTCCAAACCAGTTGCTTCGCAGCGTATTTGCATGATCTTGGGACTACAGTAAATCTAGATTCAGCTTTCGGATCTTGATCCTTCAAAAAAAAGGATGAAACAAATGTATACAAATGTCTACAAAAGCCTCTCATCCACGATGCAAAATTAATTTTGGAAATCTTACTTATCGGATCCTGATCCTCCAAACTATTTTGAATGTTTTTGCATGATTTTGGGACAAAATCCAGATTCAGTTTTGGGACCCTTATCCTCCAAACCACCTGGCTTACAGCAAATTTGCATGATTTTGGGACTAAATCCAGATTCAATTTTGGGATCCGATCCTCCAAACATCTCTAAACCACCTTGTTTACAGTTTATTTGCATGATCTTGGGACTAAATCTAGATTCAGCTTTCGGACCCTGATCCTCCAAACCAGTTGCTTTGCAGCGTATTTGCATGATCTTGGGACTACAGTAAATCTAGATTCAGTTTTCGGATCTTGATCCATCAAAAAAAAGGATGAAACAAATGTATACAAATGTCTACAAAAGCCTCTAATCCACGATGCAAAATTAATTTTGGAAATCTTACCTATCGGATCCTGATCCTCCAAACTACCTAGTTTGGAATGTTTTTGCATGATTTTGGGACAAAATCCAGATTCAATTTTGGGACCCTTATCCTCCAACAGCAAATTTGCATGATTTTGGGACTAAATCCAGATTCAATTTTGGGATCCTGATCCTCCAAACATCTCTAAACCACCTTGTTTACAGTTTATTTGCATGATCTTGGGACTAAATCTAGATTCAGCTTTCGGACCCTGATCCTCCAAACCAGTTGCTTCGCAGCGTATTTGCATGATCTTGGGACTACAGTAAATCTAGATTCAGCTTTCGGATCTTGATCCTTCAAAAAAAAGGATGAAACAAATGTATACAAATGTCTACAAAAGCCTCTCATCCACGATGCAAAATTAATTTTGGAAATCTTACTTATCGGATCCTGATCCTCCAAACTACCTAGTTTTGAATGTTTTTGCATGATTTTGGGACAAAATCCAGATTCAGTTTTGGGACCCTTATCCTCCAAACCACCTGGCTTACAGCAAATTTGCATGATTTTGGGACTAAATCAAGATTCAATTTTGGGATCCTGATCCTCCAAACATCTCTAAACCACCTTGTTTACAGTTTATTTGCATGATCTTGGGACTAAATCTAGATTCAGCTTTCGGACCCTGATCCTCCAAACCAGTTGCTTTGCAGCGTATTTGCATGATCTTGGGACTACAGTAAATCTAGATTCAGTTTTCGGATCTTGATCCTTCAAAAAAAAGGATGAAACAAATGTATACACATGTCTACAAAAGCCTCTAATCCACGATGCAAAATTAATTTTGGAAATCTTACTTATCGGGTCCTGATCCTCCAAACTACCTAGTTTTGAATGTTTTTGCATGATTTTGGGACAAAATCCAGATTCAGTTTTGGGACCCTTATCCTCCAAACCACCTGGCTTGCAGCAAATTTGCATGATTTTGGGACTAAATCCAGATTCAATTTTGGGATCCTGATCCTCCAAACATCTCTAAACCACCTTGTTTACAGTTTATTTGCATGATCTTGGGACTAAATCTAGATTCAGCTTTCGGACCCTGATCCTCCAAACCAGTTGCTTCGCAGCGTATTTGCATGATCTTGGGACTACAGTAAATCTAGATTCAGTTTTCGGATCTTGATCCTTCAAAAAAAAGGATGAAACAAATGTATACAAATGTCTACAAAAGCCTCTCATCCACGATGCAAAATTAATTTTGGAAATCTTACTTATCGGATCCTGATCCTCCAAACTATTTTGAATGTTTTTGCATGATTTTGGGACAAAATCCAGATTCAGTTTTGGGACCCTTATCCTCCAAACCACCTGGCTTACAGCAAATTTGCATGATTTTGGGACTAAATCAAGATTCAATTTTGGGATCCTGATCCTCCAAACATCTCTAAACCACCTTGTTTACAGTTTATTTGCATGATCTTGGGACAATCTAGATTCAGCTTTCGGACCCTGATCCTCTAAACCAGTTGCTTTGCAGCGTATTTGCATGATCTTGGGACTACAGTAAATCTAGATTCAGTTTTCGGATCTTGATCCTTCAAAAAAAAGGATGAAACAAATGTATACAAATGTCTACAAAAGCCTCTAATCCACGATGCAAAATTAATTTTGGAAATCTTACTTATCGATCCTGATCCTCCAAACTACCTAGTTTTGATGTTTGCATGATTTTGGGACAAAATCCAGAACTATCCTCCAGTTTTGACAGTTTTTGCATGATTTTGGGACAAAATCCAGATTCAGTTTTGGGATCCTTATCCTCCAAACATCTCAGCAAACCACCTTGTTTACAGTTTATTTGCATGATCTTGGGACTAAATCTAGATTCAGCTTTCGGACCCTGATCCTCCAAACCAGTTGCTTCGCAGCGTATTTGCATGATCTTGGGACTACAGTAAATCTAGATTCAGCTTTCGGATCTTGATCCTTCAAAAAAAAGGATGAAACAAATGTATACAAATGTCTACAAAAGCCTCTCATCCACGATGCAAAATTAATTTTGGAAATCTTACTTATCGGATCCTGATCCTCCAAACTACCTAGTTTTGAATGTTTTTGCATGATTTTGGGACAAAATCCAGATTCAGTTTTGGGACCCTTATCCTCCAAACCACCTGGCTTACAGCAAATTTGCATGATTTTGGGACTAAATCAAGATTCAATTTTGGGATCCTGATCCTCCAAACATCTCTAAACACCTTGTTTAAGTTATTTGCATGATCTTGGGACTAAATCTAGATTCATCTTTCGGCCCTGATCCTCCAACAGTTGCGTTGCAGCGTATTTTGCATGACCTTGGGACTAACAGTAATCTAGATTCAGTTTTCGGACTTGATCCTTCAAAAAAATGGCATGAACAAATGTATACAAATGTCTGCAAAAGCCTCTAATCCACGATGCAAAATTACTTTTGGACATCTTCCTTATCGGATCCTGATCCTCCAAAACTACCTAGTTTTGAATGTTTTTGCAATGATTTGGTACCAAATCCAATTCAGTTTGGTGAACCTTATCCTCCAACCAACCTGGCTTACAGCAAATTTTTGCATGATTTTGGGACTAAATCCAAATTCAGTTTTGGGATCCTTATCCTCCAAACCACCTTGTTTACAGTGTATTTGCATGATCTTGGGACTAGATCTAGATTCAATTTTCGAATCCTGATCCTCCAAACCAGCTGGTTTACAGCGTATTTGCATGATCTTGGGACAAAATCTAGATTCAGTTTTCGGATCCTGATCCTTCAAAAAAAAGGATGAAACAAATGTATACAAATGTCTACAAAAGCCTCTAATCCACGATGCAAAATTAATTTCGGAAATCTTACTTATCGGATCCTGATCCTCCAAACTACCTAGTTTTGACTGTTTTTGCAGGATTTTGGGACAAAATCCAGATTCAGTTTATTATTTTTGATCTCCCACTGATGCTACTGTAGCCATAATCATGCACTGTAGCCATGGCCAAAAGAATTATGGAAACATGTCAATAGAAAAGTTGTCACCCCTTTCAGGAAACAAATAATTATGGAAATGGTCATATGCCAAGAAACACCCTCACATGGAAAAAAAATATATGGAAATTTAACTGCGGCACGTCACGCCCCTTCCAGAAAGGTTCAGATTACAAGATATTACGTAATTTTGATGTGTGCATTTTTATCAGTAAAAAATAATTATGGAAAAATACGGCCCCGGCGCGCCGCAGTTGTTTGCTGGCCCATGCCGAACCTTTTTTCCATTTCCATAATTCTGTCGACGACCATATGAATACAATGATAATACCGGGTTCGGGCTAATATGGAAGATATATAATAATGGAGTATGTGGAAGATATGGTATAATATGGGCATATCTGGGCTAATAAGCGAGATATACAACATCATTATAGGCTATGATATGTGGGTTTAATCACACTATTATGGGCCTATCACTTGGGTAAACTTGGTTAACCATGAAATGATGTAAATATAAATATATATATATACACATAGAAGCTATAGATGATATGGGAATGAAAGCCATAGTGGAGTTCACAAAACGACTATATGGGAGATATGGAATATGAAATATGTGTGTAAATATATATATATATATATTTATTTATAGGACACATGTATATATAATTATATGTTTACATACCTTGTATACAACAATGATACACACAGCGGATTTCTGGTTGCAATGCAACTACAAATAATAATATTGACATATTATATATATATACACATGTATATATAAGTAGTGGATCAATCACACTATAATGGGCTTATAGTGTGGAATCATAATGAGGTTTTAATGGGATAATGATTATGGTAGATATTGACAGATATTGACAGACATGGCAATATTGTGACAATAGTGATTCAATAGTGTTATAGTGACAAACATAGTAATTTAATGATAATATAATATGGGTCGCTTCCGCTCACCGGCGGGGAAGCCGTGTAATGTCTGGATGAGGCCTATATAGAGGGATTTGCATCTTCACCTGGGCATCCAAGAACGCAGACTCGTGTGTGATCTGAGGTTGCTTCGACATTTTTTGACTTTTGTATCGAGATATTTGTGGACCTTCGATTACAGACATGCTCTGACATGTATTCTGACATAAATAAGGAAAAGCTCACTGATACGGTGAATGGTTGTGAAATCCTGCACCAGTTGATACAGGCATCTGACAAAGTCGTACCTGTTTTAGGAAAAAAACGTTGTGCCTTGGGGAAGCGTGTTTCGCAAAAGTCGTGCCTTTAGCAAGAACGCATAGGAACTCTGGAGTTTAGATATGTAACCCGTTTTCTTATGAGATCACGTAGCTGATCACTATTAGCATGCAGAATTCCAGGTTGTGGGTATGTTGATTAGTTATAGGTAAGATGGCGTTGAGCTGGTGATTTGATGATTTTGGATGTTCATCCCAGTTATCCTGTTTCTCCCCGAATGCGTAGCGAAGGGTTCCCGTTTACAAAGTAGTACTGGGAAATGCTTTGTGCAAGCTTTGTAGTACAAATTAGTGCTGGGAAGGACTTTGTGCAAGCTTTGTAGTACAAAGTAGTACTGGAACGTGCTTTGTGCAAGCTTTGTAGTACAAAGTAGTACTGGAACGTGCTTTGTGCAAGCTTTGTAGTACAAAGTAGTGCTGTGAAGTAGTTTGTGCAAGCTTTGTAGTACAAAGTAGTGCTGTGAAGTGCTTTGTGCAAGCTTTGTAGTACAAAGTAGTACAGGGAAGTGCTTTGTGCAAGCTTTGTAGTACAAAGTAGTACTGGGAAGGACTTTGTGCAAGCTTTGTAGTACAAAGTAGTACTGGGAAGTGACCCAGAGAATAGAAAAATAATGATGCAGAATCCCAGCGTTGACATGCAGGTTGCACACGAGAATTACATTCTAAGAGAGTAGAAAATCAATATTTTTATCAATCGCGTTCCATTGTGTTTCATTGGTTTTTCATGTCTAAAATGCATGGTTACACTTTTATTGAGGGCAGCGTTCCATGCAGAAAAGCATTTAGGCATGACTTAGGCATGACTTCTTGGATACAGCGTTTACAATGGTAAATGCCATTCAAACACATGCTAGGCATGACTTAGGCGTGACATTGTCGCTTCCCTGTAGGTGGTTTATCAGTTTATCCCATTATTTTCAGGCCTTCAACCATCCTTTTGGTGGTGCAGGATTTCGCAACCACGTGGTATTGACGGGATCATCGCAGAAGCCAAACCAAACCCGCAACGTGGGAATAAAAAACTTCCAATGAGATAGGGCACCCTTGAATCCACTTGCAAGCCATCATTTTCCTTCATAGTAAAATATGGTTACCATCTGGTTATTTAACATAGCTGGCTGGAAAATCCCCAAAATAAATGGAGGTTTAGTTCGCTGGGCAAATCATCTGTTTCTATGGGCCATCTATACCATGGCTATGTTAAACAACCAGAGGGTATAATAAAATAACAGAATGTAAAGGTGTTGGGCTTTTTGGGGCGCGCCATTTTCAGACACACCATATGTCAAAACGCCCATTGTTGGCTGAAAAAACACTTCCGAAGTGATGACTAAAATGCCAAATGTCGTGAGTGAAAAATCACCGCAACTTTTCATGCTTTTTCATCGCAATTTAGATCATTTTAGATCCATATTTGTATATCCACATGTTTTTTTGCAAATATTGATATCCACAATATTTCATAATATCCATTTAGATCCTTTTTTCGGAGCATGACATGGTTGCAGAAAACACGCGAAACCGCCACAGTGGAGGCCCAAAAGCTCTGAACCAGCGCAGCCGTCAGCGGGTGTCATGGCCGTATATGGCCGTTATGGATTGGGACTCCGTCAGGGATTGGAACAGAAGATGGGATGATCAATGATAACTACAAGGTGAGGCCCAGTGATGTTGGTTTATAACAGCATTAAAACATATATATATATTCCCCATCAAAGTTTTTAGCAGGTCACAAGTCAACTTTTAGGAGAGGATCAGTATGTGGGATAACAATGGGAACAGGGATGGACTGGGCTTTTCCCCATCAATATTGTCCGTTTAGAAGAAATAGATGGGCCGCTTTGTTATATGATGTCAAAAAAGATGTATTTTCATTTACCTAAGAAAAAATAATCACAGGTTATCTGATGTTCAATAGGTTATACCAGTAGTACCGCACAAGGCGGTGGCGGAAGTTTCAGAAATAGGAAACCTATAGGAGAGGTTGGTTGTTGTGAATCACAGATGGCAGAGCGAATCCACTGATGGACCGACAGGTGGTTGAAGTCTCCTCTCTTTCTCTCTTTCTTTGTCGCTTTCTCTGACTACCTACCTACCTACCCACCCACATCTATCTATCTATCTAATCTAATCTGATCTGATCTAATCTAATCTAACCTAACCTAAATCTAATCTAATCTAATCTAATCTAATCTAATCTATCTAATCTATCTATCTATCTATCTTATCTTAACTCATCTCATCTCATCTCATCTTATCTTATCTTAGCTTAGCTTAGCTTAGCTTATCTATCTATCTATCTATCTATCTATCTAAATCTAGTCTAAATCTAATCTAATCTAATCTAATCTAAATCTAATCTAATCTAATCTAATCTAAATCTAAATCTAATCTAATCTAGTCTAATCTAATCTAATCTATCTATCTATCTATCTCTCTGTCTGCCTGTCTGTCTGTCCGTCTGTCTACCTGTCTATCCGCAAGCTTGAAAACGAAGCTATTCTGCGAGACGTCCTCGGGTTTTGAACTTGACAACATCAAAAACGAAGCAATTCTGCGAGACTTGTTCATTTTTCAAAGTTGACAACATCAAAAATAAAGCAATTCTGCGAGACTTCCTCAATTTTTGAACTTAACAACGTCAAAAACGAAACAACTCTGCGAGACTTCTTCATGTTTCAAACTCGACAACATCAAGAATGAGGCAATTCTGCGATACTTCTTCATTTTTCAAACTTAACATCAAAAACGAAGCAATTCTGCGAGACTTTCTTCAAAAATGGAAAGTTGCATGCAACGCTGACGGCCTCGTACCAATGAGTCTTGCGATTTTTCCAGCCCATCTGTCTAAACTACTGCGCCTGCCACGAAAAAGTGATGCCAGGTCATACGAAGTGCTGCACCTGTCACGCAAAATCATCTCAGCAAACCTGAAGATCTGATGCTCCAAAATGCACCCCCTCTCAGGAAATCAACGCCCGGACCTCCTAACAGCTCTGATGAACATGTCTCTTGTACTGCGCCTGCCAAGGAAAATGCATCTTTCCAGATCCTCTTCAATTGTCCCACGCGTGCCATCGTTTTTGGAAATGCCACAAAACCCTCACGTTTTGCTCACTTTTGACAAGGTGCACAATCCCTTGCCCCTGGCACGCGAAACGACATCTGAACCTCCAAAAGTGGAGCGAACATGTGGTGCTTTGTACATTTTGACTTCGAGATGTGCTTCGCGCCACAACGGCGTGCACTTTTTCGACATCTCAACTTCCAAAAGTGGTCCGTACATGGTGTGTTTTGTACATTTTGACTTCGAAATGTGCTTCGCGCCACAACGGCGTGCACTTTTTCGACATCTCAACCTCCAAAAGTGGTCCGGACCTGGTGTGTTTTGTACATTTTGACTTCAAAATGTGCTTCGCGCCACAACGGAGTGCACTTTTTCGACATCGCAACTTCCAAAATGTGGTCCGACGCTGGTGTGTTTTGCGCATTTGACTTGGAAATGTGCTTCGCGCCAAAACGGTGTGCACTTTTTCATCTCTCATCTGGCCAGATGGCTCCGCACCCGCCGCTTTAGCGAGCCTACTTTTCGACCCTCTGGAGCCACAAATCATTGGAAAAACACAGTGTGTCGCGACTTTCCTACCTTTTCGCGCATCTGCATCTTCTTTCTTCTGACTCTTTCTCTTCTCTGATCTTCTCTCTTCTACTCTTCTCTTCTCTCTGACTCTTCCCATCTCTGCTTTTCATCTGTCCATATTGTCGGAAGTTTGACTTCTAAACTTCCTTCGATGATGTTGTATGAACCTATTCTTCGTTGGGAGGCCGTCACCACTGGGAATTTATATAGGACGGCTGGGTGATGGCGGAGACCACCTGGATGAGACTGCCGGGATCAGCTCCGCGAAAGGGAATCTCCAACTGTTCGACATGGATTTTTGTAGGGTATTGTTGGTTAGTAGTGGTTAATGACAACATAACCAATGGTTACTAACCAACAATCAGTGGTTAACTAATAGTAGTGGTTAATGATTACTAGTGTTTTTTTGTATGGTTAACTTAGAGTTAATAGTTGTTAATACTGGTTACTCTGGTAAACAGTCCCAAAAAACGATGGAAAAATCCACCATTTTATAGCAGGGTAAATCCACTATTTCGACTGGGCCATTTTCAATAGCGAACTGTTTGTTTGCCAGAGGGTATCAACACTTCATGTTTTTTTTATGTTCGATCTTTTTGCGCCAATTTCTCCACAAATGAAAAGCACGCGCACAAAACGGTGGGCCGAACAACGGATGCGCCCCCAACTTAGGCGTTCCTTTGGTTCCTGAGAATCTGTGGCTTGCGTCACTTGGTGGGAGATAGTCAAGAACAAGGAATACTATGAGAAACCCAATGCCATAAACAACGACCATTTGGATCCATTTGGCGATGGTGACCACAGCATTGGGTTTACACATTGGACACTGCAAACTTGGTGGGTTTCAAATATGTTGAGGCGAATCCATTGGGTCCAAATGCAGGGTTGCGTGCGGATGGGGGCATGGGTTTTCCACATCGATTGGTTCGTTTGCCCTAGGGTAATCCAATCCCCCCAATGTAAAGTACCCGCCATATGGATCCCATATGAATTAGGGTGGTATTTGATATTTGGTTAAAGGGATCCTTAGTAACCAAACATGGGCACTCATCGATTGGTTCTTTCTTTTTGCAGCTTCGTGTGAGAATAGGGATACCCCTATCTAGAGCCCTATCTGTGGCCATTTCAATAGAGAACATGATGGATGAACCAGTGGATATAGGGGTTCTCCCCAAACTTTTCAGTCAAACCCAAATTAGAGCATAGTTGGTGAGTCGTATATCCCGTAGGTCCTCCAAATTCAGTAATTACCCCCAAAATTAGGATGGCTAGCTACTCAAAAGGATCAAAATCCATGAGTCCCAAATCTCATCTTTTATGTCAATTTTCCCATCAATACGGCAATTTTGTTGTCTTGTCAGTTCTTAGACAAACCGAAAGTTTGATCGGAATAGATCAAAATCTACAAAATCATATTTTGGAGGGATGAACCCCCATAAATCCTAGCTATTTCGGTTGTTTTCAACCAGGGGATTCAATGGATTTCAATCCAGTTCACCATATTTTGGAGGGAAAATCCCCCTTTGAGTTCGATATGAGTTTTCCAGAGGATTTCCCAGCCATATTCACGTCATTATCCTATGGAATATCCCCATGTAACCTCCATGAAGATTCCATTATATAAATCATGTTAAATCCCATTATATACATGATGATCATGATGATTAAGTTCCCATTTTCTGGGTGCATTGCTTCCCCAAATAGGGGGTATGGTATACCCAATAATAAACCAAAATTTTGACCTCTATTGAGGATGGTTTATTATTAGGTTTACCACATTGATCATAAGATTTCATTACCACGGGGGTAGTTCCAGTCTTCGCTCTAAGGCACAACCGAGCCGGATGCTGAGCGATGGGTAGGGTTTTTTGGGGTCAGCTCCGGTGAAACCGCTCGCCGCTGGGAAATCCCCGTGGTCTAGCCATGGAGGTTTGTAGCTGGGAACATCATCTATAAATAGGGGATTTTCCAGCAAGCCATCGAGCTGATTGCCAGAGGCCCAGAGGCTATG